CACATTTTTGGTTCTTCCCGGATGGACAATGGTAGGTTTTTTGCCACTGGATCAGGTCCCTCACCGTATCTATTCATAGAAAATCTCCTACTTGAACTCCCACAAATTCAAATAAAATTCCGATTAAAATCTAATTAAAGGTTCAAAATTCCCCCCACCAAATTAGAAGTTGCAAAAAATAGCAAATTACATGTTAATTACCATCAAATTTATCACGAAAAATTTCGTCCCACATTTTTTGCGGATTACTCTTTTGGCCGCCAAATCCCAGGAACATCAAGAACTCGTGTCGACTTTTTTTTAATTTTACTTTTAGCATTTTTCGGAAGTCTTTTTACTCCAAAAAGTCGTAAGTTCTTACGACAAATGTCTCTCACGCCATGGTCTTTGATTAGCGTAATTTCGGAGAAAAAGTTGGAAGATGTTCATTAGACATGCGGGGGTTGCATGGATAATATGTCCACGGCTGGAGATCTTTGAGTAAATTCTTTGAAAAAACTGGAAAAGGTATGGGAAGTTGAGCTAGAACTATGGCACATGGTAGGTTACTGTAACCCCAAAAAAGTTTTTTACAAAAAAGTATAAAAATTGTGTCGTATCTCGCCACATGCCACGGTGACCCAAAATAAAACAAAAATGTCTTCCGTCCACTTTTGAATCTCGCCCAAACGAAGTGTCAAGATTCACAAAAGGAATAAAATAATCCCGAGAAAAATATTTTTCGGTCAGAAAACCACACGAAAAATTCATTTTTGATATTTCGTTTGAATTCAACCGATAATAAGTGAGCGAAGTGCCGAAAGGAGGCAGGAGACTCCATGGGTTGCCGTGCATGTATACAAAAATTGTAGAGGACGAAAAAAAATTTTCCAACAACATATTCTTCACGTTGTTTCACCCACAAAGTGCACCAATCCCTATTTTTTGAAGCTGTTTCCTGACCGGATTTTTTGAAGCTATTTCCTGACCTAGATTTAATCAGTGTGGCGTCACGCGACAAATAGAATTTTGGAAAAAATCCTTGGCTATTTTTTCTTGACTATGCGGGATAAACCTTTGTTTTCTGATCAGAAAATAACGTTATAAGTTCTTTTTGTTTTTAAAAACCAACTTTATCCTTCAAACATTTTTCCAAAAGAATAAAAAAAAACAATTGATCAATTGTTAGTGTGTGGACGAAACGTCTAAGAGATTCAGGAAATGCGTTGGATTGACGTGCAAAGATCGTCGAATATCTCGGCTAAATAGCCTTTGTTCACTCTTTAAAATAAGAGACTACGGTAGACCTAGAGATTAAGTATGAGTCAGTGTTTGGTCTTCTATCAGCTACAGTATGAAGCGTGAGATAACTATTATCGTCATCAGTATTTGTCAGTGCCTATTCCAATTTATTCCAAGGAAACGATTATGGCCAATTTGAAGATGCAATCAAAGTGGTCTTTAACGGAGTCTTGCAAAAACAAATGGCACAGTCTGAGCCCTTAAAGACATTTAATACGTGCAGTAGATGAAACAAAAGTGTCTCGCTAAAATGAGATGTATCAAAATATAGTTATCTTCGAATCTTCACAAGTGATTACAGAACAACCTGTAATCAACGTGTTTACAGGTCAAAAGAGGACAAATGTCTATTTGCGCACGGCTAGTATGAATCACTACCTTTAACACGCCCTTTGAAAGCGTTGCACGTCAAACTGAGATAAGCTAAAACAGTCCGGTGAATGAATTGGCAATTTGCCAAAAAAAGACGCGAAAAAGCGTTTTGTCGGGAGAGAAATGGGGAATTTTTGGGGCGAGAGAGTACGCTTTTGCGTGTCTTTTTTCTCTCTTTCTCTGGAAATCAAGACGAAATATAAAAAACCGATAGCGAAGAGTCTATTCCGGTCACCGGACTCCTGTTTGACGTGCGTTGCTCAGGTATCCGAAGGGTTTTTTGAGAGTGCGCGAGAAGTGCAAAGAGCGAAAGAGAGGAAAACGGTTTATTCGCTAAAAATCAGCGAATTTTGTGGGAGAAACAGTGTTTTCGTAAAAACGTTGCGCTTATTATGCAAGACGAAAGTATGAATTTTTATTTTTCTGTATAGACGAAAAATCCTAATTTAATCAACCGTCCTATTCGCCTGACGTATTTTACAAACTAAAAAATTATAAAAAAATCTCAGTCGAACTATTCGAACAAAAGTTTTTGATGGAAAATATGACGATTTTTGCTTGATTTTTCTGACGAAATCATCCGCCTTACAGCCCTGACGTATTTTACCATCCTTATAAGAAAAAACACCAAAAAACTTGAAATTTGAATCCCCTGAAACTTACAAGGAAAGTACCCCATGTGCGACACTCAGATTTTCAAATTTTGCACACACGTCGGGTATGGCCTAAATATCAATTACTGAAAGTTTTAGCTCGCGCTTTGCAAGGGCCGCCGAGATATTGAACGATCTTTGCCGCCGAGAGAGCACGCTAAACACGGAGAGCGGACAGAAAGAAAAACACTTTTTGATCCCAACTTTGCCAGTTTCGTTCCGAAGAAATTGATTTTTTGTGAAAGCATTACCCTCTGATAGAAATAGGAAAGAAACTTTTCGTACCGAAATTCGGCAAAAAGTGTCAAATTTTCGTCAACCTTCGGTCTAAAAATCTCGCTTGTTTCTGCAAAGCGCGAGCTAGGATTCTCGTATATATTTTAGAAAAAACTATTCTAAATTTGTGCCAAGTTTCATCAAAATCTGCACGTCGCACTTGGGGTACCTCCCCTGTTAGATTATATAATAAAAAAGGAATACGTATTTTATCCATAACGTAAAATAATATTTTTTTAGATTCGCGCAGTCCAATTTTCTAAGGTTCAACTTGATAAATGTTATATTATACAGTTATCAATTTGTCGGGAAGATAATGAGTAGTGGCGCTGAGCCTATTGGAGTGAAAAGCTATTTGATTTTGCCGCAACACAATTAATTTTCTCTTTGATTTTTGATGCGACAAAATGCTCATTATTTTCCCGACAGTCTGATACTTCCCCTGTTTTCTCCTACCGTATTTTCTACTGTTGTTTATATATATACTTTACACTTCTTCAAAATGTCACGCAATCCCCCGCAATCTCAAAATATTTACCCAACGTTTAAGTAATCTTTTCCCTCAAATACTACAGTAAAAAAGGACAGAGGTATTATTTAAAATTCCCAGAAATCTTATCTGAATATTAATCCAAATGTAAATGTCCGCTCCTGAAATAACCGGAGACTTTCCAGTAACAGATTAAGCAAACATTGGAATGCGATTAATTACTGAGTAAGTGGCTACAAATTAAACCGTAAAAATAGCTGCGAAACGGGGGAAATGTGGGGTTTGGAAAGTGGGGATTAGGGGCAAAACAAGTACAGGAAATTGGTGATTACTCGCAATAAACGTGAATAAATTATTGAACATACCACTTAGGGGTTTTAATGTAGTCTGAAAAAATAAATATATCGAGGTCTTTAAAACGCACAACACCATGGATAACGAGATTTACATTCTAAAGAAACGATCAAAAATCTCTGTAATGTGTGAAATTAAATTTTTGGGAGGTTTCTGTACCTTCTAACAGGACCGGTAGGGAATGATTACAATCAGATCGGGATAAAGAAAATTTTATACGAGAAGCGCTGGACAGAATTGTTACATCCAGGCGCGGGAGCCATGTTCTATCGCTGTCAAGTGTTGCTATGAAGGAATCGCTTTTCGTTCGACATTCTACAATGTTTTCAGGCCAAAATGAGCAGAAATAGATGTGTTATTGGAATTTTCCTTCGATTTTTACAACCTTTCCTCTACTGAGGTCGTAGTAGATACTCATAATCTTCTTACAGAATAAGATTTTACTACAAAACAGTAGTAAAATCGGCTCCAAATGTATTTGAAATTACATTTCAAATTTTTCCCGCAAGTTTTCCTTAAACTTTTTTCTTTAGCCGGAAGTAACTCAGCATTTGGCTCACTAATTAGTGATGTTTCTCTTGGAAGATAATAAAATGGGCCGGCAAGTTTTTTGAGCAAACTTGGACTATGCTCTTTGGTTTATTTGGGAAGGCATGTGTAGAGGAGAAGAAGCTACAACCAGAGGATTACTCATTCTGAAATATAAAATGGAATCTCCAATATTTTTAAACGTAGTCTGAAGACGTAGGAGCTTGAATAAGTTGGAGATTCACACGCCCCGGAATGAACAATTATGTGACTAGATTGTGGAGGTGAATCGCTTTATTTCGAGGAAACTTCGCGCAGATCCAGAAAAAAGTTTCTAGCCAGAAAGGCAATTCCAGAAAAGGTTCGGTTCTACAAAAGATACTATTGGCAAAACCCGTTTTTCTCTCCGCCGGCCCTCTTCACTGTCGTTGTTTTTCATTTTCAGCCAAGACAAGGAAAATAGATCTTCCTTCTCTTACAATAGTTGGGACCATTCGCTTTTTAGCTCCTTTGCCGTCACTCCAAAAAAATTGTCACACGAAGATGAGTAAAATTCACTTCGCGTCGTCGGCCGCACCGAAATGTGTCCTTTCGAACATGTGTCAAGATTTTTCGGGCGACCCAATATCTCGACTACATGGCAACAAACAACCAAAGACATTAGGGAAAGTATACACCGTCCAAGCCGTGTAAACATACCTTCAAGAAAAACAGAGTGCTGTTCCATCTTTGATCAGTTTTTCATCCATCAAATAAACGCCTATCGTGATTTTATTATACGAATAATATGTACATACTCAGTACGTATTCCAAAAAAGATGTATCATTTCCAAACGACAAAAAAAGGAGAGCAATCGAAGCAGAAAAATCAGTTTGATAATTAGCTCAAAATGTAAATTTCAGATCATGGGAATTCTTTTTTCTTTTTGTTTCTCCTTTGTTTTGGCGGTGATTTCCATTTTATTCAATTTCTTCCAAAAAAGCGGCCGCAAAATTGTTGACTTTTGCTGGACATACGATCTCGTCCTTGGAAAATTGATCTGGAAATGTTACGGTAAGCGGCATCAACTATTTTTCCCAAATTTTTAAGCCCGATCCATGCAAAATTCCATTCAATTTTATACAGATTTACCTCATTTTAGACCCTCCCGTCTTTCTTTATCAATTTTTGGCTCAGCCCGCCAACTCAGCCGCGCTAGCCCTCTGCAAAAGCCAGGCCGTCAAGTTCTCGTCCCAAATTATCCATTGAAAACGACGAAGGGAAAGACGGTCAGTATTGAAGTGGCTGAATACAGTGATTTGCCGATGATGAAGCAATATTTGAAGGAAAATTTCGCTGTCGAAGAACCAGTAATGGTCGCGAATAGTGAGTTCCAAAAAGACTTTTAAAGCGTCAAAGGCCTATTACGAATAATTTTATTGCAGAAACTCGATGTTTTGCTGAAATTGGGGGCTTTTTAGGCGATTTGAAGCAAAGAATTTATTTTATAGCAATCTGCAGGCATGACTCAATGATCAATTATAAAAATTATTAAAAAATTTTAAGGCAAAAACAAGATCTTTTGGCAAAACTTTGACCATAAAAACTATTTTTTTCACAATCAACAATTTTATTTTTCCCCAATTATTGTCATTTTCTCAGAATGCTCTCCCAAAAGATTGCTGGATGAAGTTCTCAGCGACCTCTTAGAGGTCTGTGTCCATTTCCCATACACCACATTGGCCTTCGATGGAGACCAAATGATTGGATACAACTTGGTTTGGCTCGAATTATTCGATAAAAATTCAAATACCCCACCCAAAGAGGGCTACACGGATTTGGGAGATTGTGAGTTGAGGTTTTAGAAACGGGATTTTTTGATTTTACAATGACGGAATTTTTACGAAAATGATTTTTCGAGGGGTTTTAAAGTGGGTTTTATCAAAAAAGTCACCCTTTTTCAATGCAAGCTGCTGAGTTTTGGCCATTTTTACAAGAATTATCGATTTTTTTAGTGTCCAAACAATATGCAAAAAATATTAGACTCTCTGAGCAACCGGAGATCCGAACGGTGACTACAATCAACTACGCGGCCAGTTTGTGTCCTCATTTTCTTCCGCCGGCCGAGAGACATGTTGTGGCGCATGGAGAAATGGGATCTGTCAATAAAAAGTACAATGGGCAAGTTTCCTTGCTTTTTGGGACATAAGGGAATAATTTGTAGTTTATCCAAAAGCCCTAAGGCGATCTAAACTTTAATTTTTTAAAAATACCCTTGCCTCGAACTATCTATAATAAAATTCCCGAGTTCAGAAATCACCTGGTCACCGCTTTGATCGTCGAAGGAGCCAAAGAGATCCTCAAAGACAATCTAGTCCAGTATTATTATGCCACTGCCACAGCCGCCGCTACGGTTCATATGAATCCATTGTTGGGCCTTCATGAAGTCTGGAGCATGAAGTACAAGGACTACAAGTTTGATGGCCAACAGATCTATGGCGATGGGGTCTTGCATGATGGAAATGATCGGATCACTCTGAATATCGGGAAAATCGAAGATGTCGTTAATTCAGAGTATTATGCCAAGCTTTCTGAGGGCAAATAAATAGATTTTTTTTATTGTCCGGCTAAAGTCATTTTGAGCGGGTTGAGAGTGAAATTCGTGGAATTTTGAGTTGCGCCCTAGCTTTAGCTAAACTCTTTCTGGAATAAAAAAAATTACCTTAATTTGATATAGGCTCCGCCCACTTCTGCAGGATTTTGTTTGTTTTTTTTTGGGAAAGCCAGGAAGATGGCGAATTAAAATGTTGAAATTTAGTAAATAAAGCACTGTTCTTTTCAAATATACGATGTTTTTTACATTTTTTCTTTGACAACAAAGTCTGGACAGTATAATCTAACACTCTTCGTTCATTTTCTATAAAATGAATGAATAACTAATCTTTAATAACAATAAATAAAGGTGTCAAAGAAACAGATATCGGAGAAATCAGATATAATATTATAAATCTGATATACAGAAGGTCACAAATGATATACAGAAGGTCATATATAAATCTGATATACAGAAGGTCACAAAGCACATGTAAAAATAGCGAATTACGTGTAATTACATCCGCAAAGCATCAATTAGCAGGTACTCGAACAGTTACAGCGGTTGAAACAGAATGCCAAAATCGATTTGGCAGTGAATGTTCTGGTTGTGGGACGGGCGATAACCGTTAGTGTGGCCGAATATCGGATAATTGTTAAGCTGTCCCCAAATTTATACCATTCTGTCCCCAAATTTCCCCATTCTGTCCCCAACGACCTGTCCCCAAATAGGAGTTCGGAATCTGTCCCCAAAATATTCCGAATATGTCCCCAAACACAAAAATTAGTGTAGGGTCCATGTTTCGGGGTAGTAATAACACTTCGGGCTAAAAAATTTGAAAATTCAAATTGGTGATTACGTAATAAGCAAAAGTTCAAAACTTTTGGGTAAAAATCGGATATAGGGGTAATCGAGGATGCTGATTTTGAAAATGATATTCATTTTACATGATTTTAACTTTTTTCTTAAGTAGTAGTGTAAAGTAGTAACTTTTGAAAATTTTAGACGAGATGTCGAGTTATAGGTAATCGAAGATGCTGATTTTGAAAATGATATTCATTCTTCATGATTTTGACTTTTTTCTTAAGTAGTAGTGTAAAGTAGTCACTTTTGAAAATTTTAGACGAGATGTCGATTTATAGGTAATCGACACCGCGGATTTCAAAAACAGTACCAGTTTTTTTATGATTGTAACTTTTTCCTTAAATAGTACTGTAAAGTATTAATTTTTGAGATTTTTTGAATTGGTAGGGTTTATGGGTGCTGATTCCAGAATAAGATTCCTGATGAGTTGTGCATTAAAGTTGTGATTTCTTTGTTTTTATTTTATTTTTTTGATGAATCGTTAGCTAAGTACAAGGTATGTGTTATTGTTGATTCAAAAACTGTGTTCATCTTCTGTAGTTTTTATTCACTTCCAATCTGTTGGCAGAAGAATTTTTGCTCAGAATTTTCTGTCAAACCTGGCATAGCGGCAGGCTATCCCAAGCCAAACAATTTTATAGCAGAAAAATTTCTGTCAAACCCCGCCCATTTTGGCGCGCTCGATGAAGAGCAGAAGCAATACCGTTGATGACTCGAAGTAATAATCGCATGAAAAACAATCCTGTTGGATAATAACACGATGTTGCTCAAAGAACTTAAATTAGCAAAAAAACTTTTTGAAATTTAAAAATACTTCTCTTTAGACAACATAGTTATATTTTAAAAATTTTTTGTCATAAAAAGAAAAAAAAAACAACCGTACTATTTTGTGACGTTGTCCGTACAAGAATAGGTTAAATTTACACAAGTTATTTGCTGTTTCAACGTTTTCTCTACCGATTTATTGCAATTAGGCAGATATTGTTTTAGGTGATATCACACGGACCTGAAGGAGTTGAAAATATTTGTAAAATATTTTAAATTTTTATTGTGTTTTTTTTTTTTTTTAATGCTAAACTATTATCATTATCCAAAAGGATTGTTTTTTCATGCGATTATTACTTCGAGTCATCAACGGTATTGCTTCTGCTCTTCATCGAGCGCGCCAAAATGGGCGGGGTTTGACAGAAATTTTTCTGCTATAAAATTGTTTGGCTTGGGATAGCCTGCCGCTATGCCAGGTTTGACAGAAAATTCTGAGCAAAAATTCTTCTGCCAACAGATTGGAAGTGAATAAAAACTACAGAAGATGAACACAGTTTTTGAATCAACAATAACACATACCTTGTACTTAGCTAACGATTCATCAAAAAAATAAAATAAAAACAAAGAAATCACAACTTTAATGCACAACTCATCAGGAATCTTATTCTGGAATCAGCACCCATAAACCCTACCAATTCAAAAAATCTCAAAAATTAATACTTTACAGTACTATTTAAGGAAAAAGTTACAATCATAAAAAAAACTGGTACTGTTTTTGAAATCCGCGGTGTCGATTACCTATAAATCGACATCTCGTCTAAAATTTTCAAAAGTGACTACTTTACACTACTACTTAAGAAAAAAGTCAAAATCATGAAGAATGAATATCATTTTCAAAATCAGCATCTTCGATTACCTATAAATCGACATCTCGTCTAAAATTTTCAAAAGTTACTACTTTACACTACTACTTAAGAAAAAAGTTAAAATCATGTAAAATGAATATCATTTTCAAAATCAGCATCTTCGATTACCTATAACTCGACATCTCGTCTAAAATTTTCAAAAGTTACTACTTTACACTACTACTTAAGAAAAAAGTTAAAATCATGTAAAATGAATATCATTTTCAAAATCAGCATCCTCGATTACCCCTATATCCGATTTTTACCCAAAAGTTTTGAACTTTTGCTTATTACGTAATCACCAATTTGAATTTTCAAATTTTTTAGCCCGAAGTGTTATTACTACCCCGAAACATGGACCCTACACTAATTTTTGTGTTTGGGGACATATTCGGAATATTTTGGGGACAGATTCCGAACTCCTATTTGGGGACAGGTCGTTGGGGACAGAATGGGGAAATTTGGGGACAGAATGGTATAAATTTGGGGACAGCCATTGCGTTGTCCCCGAATATCAGCATCAAAAAATGACGATGCCGTCAAATTCTGCTCTTTTTAGGTAAAGTTAGCGAAGAATAGATCAAAAGTAATTTTTTCACAGGATTTTTCCAAAAAAATTGCATAAAATTCTCACGAAATTTGCATATTTTTTTTCAAATGCGAAAATTATTTTCCACGTAAACTGGAAATTTCATTTCTCTCCCTTTCCTCCTGTTAGCAGTGGAGCGGTGCGGACGTTTTTTCTTCTTGCAAAAAAATCCGGTACCATAATCAAGGATGAAGAAGTCTGGCTTCGCGAGTGGTGAGGAGCGCGAGAGTCGGGAGCAGACCAGTAGCAGCGGCAGCAACAGCCAAGTCAAGAGGCGGGCGATTTCCAGGAAGGGCACTGTTGTAGGTTTTGAGGGGATTTAATTTGGAAAATTTTGGAAATTTCGAGGATTGGGCCTTGACACGAAAACTTGAAAAGTGCATAAAAAATTGCTCGTAAATTATCTGAAATTTGGTAAAAGTTCCTTATTCTGGCCACAACTTATAACTTTGCGGAAACTAGTCAGAATTGGCCCAAATTTGGCGTGCAGGCTCAATTCATCGTTGTCAATGCCCAGACAGTGGATATAGTTAGTGAGGTACCTTCTTTTTTACGTACCACCTTACCCTTCAAAAATGGCTGCAGCCTGCGATTTCACACTTTATACGATGAAACATGGCCGGCACTGAACTTATTGCCTCCGTATAGAACTAAATGAATCGTCATAGCCTTTGTAGGTACCCTTAAAACTACAGAGCTATTACAGTAATTCAGTGGCAGCTAGGTCGAAGCCTTTTTCCTAACTTTAGTTCCCAAGCTTGGGCGCAGTTCGCAGAGTACCTTTGTTGTGGCCAGAATAAGGAACTTTTTCCTGAAATTTAACTTTTAAGGAATTTATACCATTTTAACGTCTAATTTTGTAATTTTTTTGCATCTACCATTACTGTTACTTTTTTTGGAAAATTTTTGGGTCCCGCCACGAAAACCTGAAATTGTAAACAATCCAAAAAGTTGGTATCAAACGGCCTCACAATTTAGATTACGTATATTTTTTGGCTAATCATCTTTTCGTTTCCTCCAATTTTCTATTTTTTGGTCCCACCACGAAAACATGAAAGTGCAAAAAACTGAAAAAAACGAGATGTTAGAGTCTGTAGCGATTGCCAAGAATTTTTTAGAGTCTTACACAAATTAGTTGATTTTGTTCACAATTTGACATACGAAACCATCGGTGTTTCAGAGACGGCGCAGTGGTACCGCCAGAGATCGCGCGCCCCCTGCGGATTGCTCAGATGAGACTTCAGGCTCCCGCGCAACGACCCCAAACAGAAGCAACCTGCCACTTCCGGTGGAGAAGGGAATCGACGCCTTTCTGAGCGGATTGGTCAAACTGGGTAGGTGGGAAAAAGGATAGCAAGAGTAATTTTTTTTTGTAAAATACGTTTGTAGGAGTTTTGGATTTTTTCTCGAAAACGAAATACCACGAAAAAATGAAAAATTTTCGAAAACTCAATGCAGGGTTCTCCGTAGAAGTTATCTTTTTCAATTTTTGGTCCCAACAGGAAAACCTGAAAATTAAAAGTTTGGAAATTTTATCAATGAGAGCTGGGGTGTGAGGGAAATGCTGAGTGTATAATATCTTTTTTATTTCATTTCTTTTGCAGTCATATTTACGGTGTGTTTTATACACATCATATTTTTTGTTTTTGGGTCCCAACACGAAAACCTCGAAATTTTAAAAACTTTAAAAAATAAGGAGAATAGTCGTCTAAGAGGTCGAAAATAACTTTTAAATAAAATTAGAATTTGTATCTAAAGACGGCTCGTTTTCAGGCGTAGAAGGTCTCCGTCAAGAATTCGCTGCCCTCAAGGGAATCCAATCGCCCGACTACAAAACCGACGCCTTTTTGGCCAACAAGTCCAAGAACCGGTACCGCGACGTCTTCTGCACCGATCCCACGCGAGTCGTCTTGACTTTTAACGTACCGCCGGACGGGGATTACATCCACGCGAATACGGTCGTCATTGATGGCGCCGAGAGGAATTATATCGCGGCTCAAGGCCCCACCGACGCGACGGTCGCCGACTTCTGGCGGATGGTCTATCAGCTGAACGTGGGCACGATTGTGATGTTGTGCAAGGTTGTGGAGGACAACAAGGCCAAGTGCGCCCAGTATTTCCCGATGACTCCGGGCAAGAGCGAACAGTACGGAGTCATGGAAGTGGACTGCAAAAAGGCGGGTTTTTTAGAGGAATTGGAGGGTGGAGTTGGGTAAATACAGGTGGAGTTGGGGGATTGAGGAGGTCGGAATTGTCGCTAGCAATTTTTCCGGCCGCTTTTTTAGAAAGGTTTTTGAGAAAACTTGGAAAAAATGGTAAGGGGCGACAAGCTGATTTTTTCAAAAAAAAAATTTTTTTATCGGGACTTTGTAAATGCTTGTAGAAACTTTAGAATAGATGACTGTGATACTATATATATGAAAGTTTTGATTAGCGATTTTTGGAAAATACAGGGGTTTTTAAGTCAGAAAAATATAATATAAAAATTTGATTTTTTATCAGTCTGTCGGGAAAATAATGAGCGTGTCGCTGCGCCAATGGTGTCGTTGAAGTTAAAAGCAATTTAATTTTGCGGCGAAACAATTCATTTTCTCGGCGGCGATGCAATTTTTGATGCGACATTTTGCTCATTATTTTCCCGACAGAATTTTTTTGATAAAAAAAATTTTCTTGGTACCCTCTAGAAACTCAATAATGACTTAGAATAAGCGGCAAAGTATACACGCCAAGTAGCAAAAAAATTTTAAAAGTATTTTTTTTAAAATTCTTTCTGACCTAAAATTTATTTTTCAGGCCGAAACGGAGCACGGAATGATGACCTACACTTTGGAGGTGCTTCCAGACGGATATAATGCGAGCTCGGTGATTGCCAAAATTTATCAGATGACTGATTGGCCGGACCGCTCTGTCCCGAAGAATGCATCGCCCGCTCTGCGATTGCTGGAGGTTTTGCCACAAGGCCAGGTTCTGATCCATTGTTCGGCTGGAATTGGACGGACTGGAACGATCATTGCGATTGATTCGGTTTGCCAGAGACTGATGAGAGGAATCGAGACAACGGTAGGGATTTTTGGGATTTTTTGAGAGAATTTTTTATTTTTTCTTAATTTTTTAAAATTTGTTAGGAAATTTCAAAAATATTATTTTTTATTTTTGGAATTTTTTGGAGGGAAAATTTCATTTTTTTTAAATTAAAAAAAAATTTTTTTTTTCAATTTTTTTTTTTATTTTCCAGATTTTCGAGACCGTCAAACAAATCCGTTCCCAGCGTTGTCAAGCCGTCCAGACCGAGGCCCAATATGTTTTCATCGCTTTTGCGTGCGTCGTCTTCCTCAGAAGGAAGTCTGCGGCCTTCAAACCGCTCTGTGATGCCTTCTTTGCCGAGTACAGAAAATATCGAAATGCCAATTGAATATTGATTGTGGATTATCTTGGATTTATAGGACATTTCAGTTATAAAAAGATTATTTAAAAAATTTGAATTTTATTTTATTTTAAAGTCGTTAGTGAATAATTGGGCGGCTTATTCATTTGCCTAATCATGTTTGGAGTGATATTCTTTATTTTCTCAACCACAACAAACAAAACTAGTACTTCAAAAAGTTTAGCTTTCCAATATATGGAGTCAGGGGCCTGTTTCACTAACATAAAAATAAATAAAAGAGAAGTAGGGGGGAGCGAGAGAGCATCGAAAACGAGTTTGCGAGCAAGAGAAACCGGACGAAAAGCAAAAGTAGCCTACTTTTCTTTCGGAGTGACTTTTTGCGTCCAAAAACCGGGGTTGGCCGCAGAATTTTGGCCATTTACTTTTTTCTCAATTGGTATAGGAACACCCTTCAAAAAACCAAATAAAGCTGACGGTTGAGACTACAACATATCCAAATTTCGTTGTTTTATTTTCAAGAGTAGATTAGCTATATAGCTTAAAGTACAGAGTACATTTACACTGAAGATACGAAATGTTTTATTTCTCGGTCAATTTCAAAATGTTGACGCTTTAATTTATACCAGTCGATAGTCCGTCTTTTTTTCTATGAGGCTTTTTTAGAGGGCCAATTGTAGGTCTTATTATGACTGAGTTATGGCAAATTTACCTCCATTTTTGTCATAAAAAGAGCCCTCAAATCAAAGGAAGAGGAAAAGTTCGCCCCTTTCGGAACGACTTTTTATTGTCAAAAATGGAGGTTACCTTGATTTAATTGCCCGTAACTCTATCAGTTTATGATATATCGCCACCCCTCAAAAAACTTAATGTAGCTAAGAAACGGCTCTACACACTGATATGAAATTTGTAATAATTGGTGAGAAAAATTCGTTTTTATTCCGCGAACAAGAAAAAACGAGATGGTTGGCCGTACTACTGTAAAATTAGCGGTCCACCGGGCTATAAAAGGACTTCAAAACACATATTGTCTAAAACTACTTAAAAAATTCTATGTGTTGTTTTTTGGAGGGTTTCAATCCGAAAAGTTTTACCCAAGTTATGGGAATTTTAAGCTCAAATTTAGTCGATTTTCTCAAAAATTAAAGCACACGTACTTTACAATTTTTTTAAGGACGGGTTTTGGCACCACAGCAATGAAAATAATCTTGGTGATAGCTGAAACTGTCAGCTTCATTGTAAATTTTTAAGGGTGTTCCTAGACTAACTGAGCAAAAAGTTATGGCCAAAATACTGCCGCGAACCGCGGTTTTGGACGTAAAAAGTCACTCCCGCAAAAGTAGGCTACTTCTGCTTTTCGTCCGGTTTCTCTCGCTCGCAAACGCGTTTTCGATGCTCTCTCGCTCCCCCTACTTCTCTTTTATTTATTTTTATGTTAGTGAAACAGGCCCCAGATTTCGAAGTTTTGCCCGTTAATTTTCCGACTCCGGCCAAGTAATTTTCAACATTATAACGAAGTTCTGAGCGGCAAAAAACAAATTACAACAAAAAGTCTACATTTATTGTTTTTTTTCTGACAAAAGTGGACTTTTTTTACATTTTTTGAATGCAAAAGTACTTTGAATATACACATAAATACCCGAAAATACCCGGCCTCTCGGGTATTTGGGTATATACCCGAGTATATACCCGGGTATATACCCCGTCCGAACCCTAGTTCCAGAGCCAAGTCAGGCCTCCCTTTCTTGACACCTTTTTTGTATATACCGTTTTGTTTCGCTTAGCTCTGCTTACTATGCGCAAAATGAATGAAAAAACACAAATCCTCCCATTTCTTCAAACATTTCTTTATTTCTTCTTAAATTTGCTGAAAAATCTTTGAATGTAACATGTCTTCCAAAGTTGCCAACATCAATGGGATTCGATCATGGCCATCATGAGCTTTGCCCTCTGGGAACACTTGTTTTCCATGTAATTTGACGTCCTTCAAGGGGATCGACCACACTTCTTTTCTGACACTGTTGCTGAAGAATTTGTAGGAGATGGCTGCAGTGGCGCAACCATAAAAATAAGAGGCGGCTTTGGATTCGTAGGCAAGTCGAACGGTTTGGATCATCAATGGGCCGAGCAGATTGTTGCTGTAAGGTAGGAAATTTTGTGAAAATATTATACCTCCTATCTGTAACGAACCCTGATTTTTTCCATCCCGAAATCGAAAAAATTGATTTTTTTTTATTTTTGACCTATGAAACAAGATTTTTTTTAACAACAAGCTAATAATATAACATCCGTCCTAAAAAGAGACTATTCTAAACTTGCGGCAAAATTTCAGATAAAGGAGAGACCTTTCATGGCCAAAATATCGAAAAAATTTTTTTCAGGCAAATGATTTTTTGGATCAAAAATCCACACGAAATCCTCATAAAACCTCAAGTTGCTTACCCATAATACTTGGGGTCCACTGAGCACAAATCTCCATGTACCACAGCCTGCTTCTCCACTTTGGGCAAGAAATGCGGGATCATTTCCTCTACATAGCTGACCAAAGTTGCAATCAGAATTTCATCATGATATTCCGGTCCCCATGGCTTGATGTTTTCGTCAAAGACTTTAAAAATAATGATCTATGGCCTTAAAACGTCTTACTTGGCCCAAAATCCTCTGGAATTTTCAGCGGGGGAATTCTCGTATTTCGGTCGATAATTTCTAGGCCGGAAGTGTAAAATCCGACCATTTGATCGTTATGATTGTCAAAGGCAATGCATGAAAATCCATTTTTGAGATCGTGTTCGTGATTTTTTCGTAGAACATCACCATATTTCTTGACTTCTGAGAAAAAGCAATTTTTTCAAAAATTTTCAAGAGAAAAACAGGTTTCATTGCATAACATAGTCAAAAAATAATAATGGGTTTGAAGAAATATCTCATCTGAGACCTAAGGCCATTTCGCAACTTCAAGCGCCAAAAAATTTTCAAAGTTTCGGGCGCAGCCTGTGATTTCCAATTTTTGTAATTTCGGTCAAGCAACACGTTTCATCGTACAAAATAGTCGAAAAATGTAACAAATATTTCTATTCTAATGTATCTATCAGCCGAAAGGCAACTTTTATGCCGAATTAAATTTGTATCTTACATTTGGGCGCAGCTCGACATGTCTAATTTCAAAAAATTCTAAAAAACATACTAAAATATTGACAAAGTGGCTCTTGCTTGGCAAAATGTTTGGAACAGAAGTCGTGAATCAATTCAAGGTCTCTAATATCGGCTTCTTCAATTCGAACGGATTTTCCCGGCTGGGATTTCAGCGGATATTCGGGGACCAAAATACGACGCCCGCAGTGAAGAAATCTCGGATATGGGGTTTTGGGATGGTAAAAGGACAACAGACTTTGAGATTTATTCATAACTCTGTGGAAGAATAAAGGGATAGGATTGTGGAGCTTACCGGAAGATGGACAACATGACCGGTTTTGAAGAGACCAATTCGAAAAATGAGTTCTACAGTTTTATGGCCAGAGAAGCCGGGAAAGTATCATTAAAAGTATTTCCCGTAAAATCCTCCCCCATGACTATTCTTTCCGCTATGTTGTTGGGCAACATTGATCCAGAAATTCAATTCAAAGCTGGGCGCATCTCGGATAATTTTTTTCCGGTAACACGGAAGTGGACCCTATTTTTGACCCTTAGCCATGGTGATCAACGATTTACAATAATCAGAGACCATTTTATTCCTTTATGTTACTTCCCAAGAATAGAAAGGTTTGACCTCATAATTTCAAGTTTACGATACGCATTGTTCTTATCAAATTTTATGTTTCAAGCGACAGCCTTCCCGGATAAAAACTTATCAAAATGAGCTTATATGGGAGGCTATTGGTCTCTTAGCCGTCTGATTGTCTCGCAGAGATCACAAAATGTAACTTTTTTTTAAGGCAAAATTGAGATTTCTACAGGTAGAGCGAAGTATAAAAGCCACCCTTTCCCCAAAAATGTATCGCTTTCTGTTTCTAAACTGCGTAGAAGAAGGACGAATATGCTTCGGTAAGTGATGCGAACGCGTTTTCTTGACATATTGTTTTGTTTTTTGGGTGATACGAAATTTAAAAGTTTAACAAATCCTGTCTGGAACAAACAATTTCGGAACCTATAAAAGTCCAGGATGTAAAATACGTGTATTGAAAAAGTTCTTTATTTCAGGCTGCCCAAGATATCCTCCATATTTTCGTCTGTTGCAAGTCTTCGTCAACTCGGCACTTCAAGTTCCCTGCGTCGTCGAGTTCTCATCCCCGAAATCCCATTGAAGAGAATGCCGGGGAGATTTGTGAGCGCTGAAATCGCCGAACCCTCCAATTTCGAGTTGATGAAAGCCTACAGTGAGAAGAACATGTCCCATGAAGAGTCTTTGGGAGTCGCTTTGGGTAGGATATCTTAGAATAGGTGGAAAACCAATCGTTGACCGATGCAAGAGGAAGTAATTGAAGAGCGCAAAAAACGCGTCTATAAATGACATTTTATGTGGCCACTTTCAATTTTTGTGGAAAATTAAAAATGGGAACTTCGATGCTAAATTAACCTCTCCAGCGTCTCAATGATAGCAACTACAATTATATAGTAGAGAAGGAAAAATACAACAAACAGGTGTGGAAAACAAATGCGGCAGCTTTCGCTGCCTGGCCAAAACCATTTAGATTTGGCCAGTCATCTTTTAGATGAGACCAATTATCATTTAGACTGGTTTGCCAAAAGAATAGAAGGAAAAGTCATCAAACCGTTCGTCGCTTTTCGTTTGGGGAAACTTCACTTCTCTGACTGTCTGCAGTCTCCTCAAACCTGTGATCTTATATCAGTTTGTCGCCATAAAATATTTCAAAATAGCTTTTCACGTCAGCGACACGATCGGCGCAGCGATAAAGGGCTCATTATTTTCCCAACAGACTGATAAAAAAGTTTTCAGGCTGTGACCCAAAAGATTACTGCGAATATGTCATGATTCCCGCTTTAAAGAGAGCTCTTCGTTTCCCGTACACGGTGATGATTATGAACGGAGAGAAGATTGCTGGATTTGCGCTGACTTCCATCGAAGTTTTCGATGAGAATCGAGCTGTTCCACCTCTTGGATTGAAGGATCAGGGAGAATGTAGGACAACTTTAACTAAGCCACAAGTCTTTTCAGATGTCGACAACATCACGAGTCATCTAAACATTCCAATGAAGAATATCAGAGATTGGACTGGACTCATTCAATATACCACTGATGTGGTTCCTCATTTTCTGCCCAAAGCTTCTAAACATATTGTTGCACACGACGAGCTGTTGTCTGTCAGCGAGGAGTACAGAGGGTAAGAAATGAACCCTCTAGACTGGCTAGTACGGATAGCATAGCTGGCATTAGATACTGGAACAACAACTGATATTTTTTTAGCAACGGCCTCGCCACGATTCTGATGGAAGAAGGTGTAAAAGTCCTTGCCGAAGATGGAATCTGCGACTACTACTTTGGAAATCCAACTGCTTTCGGCACATCCAAAGCTGGCGACAACGTAGGGTCATCGGAATTGTTCCGATTGCCCTTTAAGGACATCAAATTGCATGGTGAATATTTGGTAAAAGAAGAGAAAAGTCAGACGGGATTGGGTGCAATTACAGTTCGGGTAATTCCCATTCCGGAGGGATTGAGAGCTATTGAAAGTCGCACAGGAATGTAAATTTTTTTGGGTGTAAAATGAAAATAAATAAATAAAAAATGAGGACAAAAATTGGGATTTCTTTTTTTGGCTCATCGGCAAACTTTGGTCGGTTTTTGATCTTGCGGAACCGGGAGGAAAAGTCAGAAAATGTTGCGGTGAGTTTTCCAAAGTTTTATGGTACATACGAGAACATTTCAAAGAGCTGCTTATTTTAGGCTGTCCAAGATATCCCGTATATCATCGTCTGTCTCGGTTTTTCGTCATCTCAGCACTTCAAATTCCCTGTCACGTCGAGTTCTTATCCCCGAAATCCCGCTGAAAAGAATGCCAGGGAAATTTGTGAGCGCTGAAATCGCGGAACCCTCTGATTTCGAGCTTATGAAAGCCTACAGCGAGAAGAACATGTCACATGAGGAGTCGTTGGGAATCGCTTTGGGTATGATGCTGCCCTAAATTCGACAAATTGTGATATTTTACCCATTATTCGAGTCTCAATAAAAAAATTTTCAGGCTGTGATCCAAAAGCTTATTGCGAGTATATCATGGTCCCAGCTATCAAAAGGGCTCTTCGTTTCCCATACACAGTGATGATTATGGACGGAGACCAGATCGCTGGATTTGCGCTGACTTCCATCGAAGTTTTCGACAAGAATCGCGAAGTTCCACCGCTTGGGCTAGATGATCAAGGGGAATGTAAGTTGGAATAGAGGTTTTGACTGTTTTGGGGGTAAAATACGATTACCGTTCTTTGCAAGGATTCTCTAACCATTAGATTTATTTACAGTACGTAGAAAAAATGTGTTTTTTAAATTTACCGGTTTTTTGGGTGAAAAAGTATGTTCTTGGCCAGAAAATTTAATTTTTAGAACTTTGCTTCTACAGGGTGTTTCAAGAAATTTGGCAGAAACTAATTGCGAATATCTTTGAGCTCTTGGGAGTTATCGCAGAAATTCTTTTTGTTTCTAAAACTTGATAACGGGCGGTTTTGTACTAAACAAAAAAAAAATTTTTTTCGTCGGCGAAGAGGCCAGTTCTCGGCGGAGGCATTTGGGGCCTTTTTTAAAAATCACACCTTATTACATGGTGGAAACTCTGTTACAATGGCCAAAATCATGTTTACGTTAAACCTCCGTGGATTTTACGGTATGCTTTTTTTGTTTTCGATTTTCGCTCATCCGCGGAGGCACGGCGGAGACCTCAGGTTTCGGCGGACGTCGTTTTGACTCTTTGGATCATTCAATTCAGGTTGGAAAAAAGTGTGGAGTGATTTTTTGTTGTCATCCGATGCACAGATGCAAAAATTTCGCACTTTTTTTCCCCGGCGGAGGATTCGGCGGAGGCTTTATCAAAGGGTCAGAACAGTCTTAGGAGTCCGGGAAAAAAACTCAGCTACAAGAATCCATCACAGCAACATCATTTTTCTTATTTTTTGGTTCGGCGGACACATCGGCGGAGGATTCGGCGAAGGCTTTATCAAAAGAGTCAAAGTTTTGTTTTGACCCTTTGATAAAGCCTCCGCCGAATCCTCCGCCGGGGGAAAAAAGTACAAAATTTTTGCCATCTGTGCATCGGATGACAACAAAAAATCGCCCCAACCTTTTTTCCAACATGGATTTGCTAAAACCGAGGGCCCAAAACAAAGTCCGCCGAAATCTGAGGTCTCCGCCGCGCCTCCGCGGATGTTGCGTAAAATCGAAAACGCAAAAAAAGCATACCGTAAAATCCACGGAGGTTTAACGTAAACATGATTTTGGCCGTTGTAACAGAGTTTCCACCATACAATAAGGTGTGATTTTTAAAAAAGGCCCCAAATGCCTCCGCCGAGAACTGGCCTCTCCGCCGACGAAAAAATTTTTTTTTTTTGCTCAGTACAAAACCGCCCGATATCAAGTTTTAGAATCAAAACGAATTTCTGCGATAACTCCCAAGAGCTCAAAGATATTCGCAATTAGTTTCTGCCAAATTTCTTGAAACACCCTGTATTTTATTTAGCCAAAAGTATCCGGATTTTTTTGAAATTTCTGAAATTTCCTCCCAACAGGCCACACATCAACCTTTAAAAAGTTTTAAAAAATCAATTTTCCCCCTAAATTTTTGCTTATTTTTATTCTCTTTGTCAGACGTGGACGAAGTGACCAAAGATCTCGGAATTCCCGATGGACCGGAGAGAATTTGGACAGGTCTGATTCAGTACACCACCGATGTTGCTCCACATTTTTTGCAAAAACACAAAAAGTATGTCGTGGCTCATGATGAACTCCTTTCGGTCAACAAGGATTACAATGGGTGGGTTTTTAAGGATTTGTGAGGAGAACTCGTATTTTACCATGAAATTTTCGTTTTTTGACTAAAAATTGAAAAAAAGGTTGTTTTGATTTTTCAAAATGATTTTTTATTTTTTGAAAAAAAATTTTTTTCGAATCTTTTTATTTTTTCTTTTATTTTTTTTCAAAAATTTTTTAATTTTCCATGTTTTGTGTTACATATGCATTCAATTTTTACCATTTTTTTAATCCCCAATCCCCTAAAAAATTTCAGAAATGGCCTTGCCAAGATTCTCATGGCCGAAGGAATCAAAGAGTTGGCCAGAGACCGCATTTGCGATTACTATTTTGGCAACCCAACTCATCATGGCACAACCATTGCCGGTGCTCGTGTTGGCGCCCCTCAACGTTGGAAACTCCCCTTCCAGGACATCATGATCCATGGCCGATCCCCGATGAAGCCTGAGGCCGGAAATGTCGGGATTGGCGCCATTGGAGTCCACATTGAACCCATCGACAAGTTGATGAAAATTATTGAGAAGATGACCAAGGCCAAGAAGTTGTAGATGGGAATTTTGAAGCTTGGAAAACATTGTTTTACATTTTGGAAAAAAAGACTGGAAAATTTGAAAATAAAAGACTGATTGGAGACTTATATTGTAATTGATCCACTTGAAAATTAATTATTTTTTTTATTTCTGGCCTATTATTTTATTGGCCAGAATTTGTCTTTTTTTTATTTTTTTTGCGAGAGAGTACGCGGAACAAAGAAAGTTGGATAAACAAAAAATTTGGTTGCTTTTGGTAATAACTTTTTTCTTCTTTTTTCAATCTCAAAATTTCGAAATTTAAAATTTTTTTTTATTTTTTCAATTTTCAAAAATTTCCATTTCCCTTCAAAATCATTATTGAAAAGTCTGGAACGATGTTGCGGTAAGTGTTTTCTAAAATTTTCTTTCTAAAAATATTGATTTTCTTCAAAATTTTCAATTTTATTTTCAGTCTGAACCCTCCAGCGCTCTCCAAAATGCACCGTTTTCTCAGCACTTCCAGCCCATTTTTTAAGGCTGGACGAAGAGTTTTGGTCCCCGAATATCCTCTAAAAACGAAGCCTGGAAAGAGTGTCAGCATCGAATTGGCTGAGTATAGTGATTTGCCGCTGATTACGGAGTATTCGGAGAAATCTTTCTCGGCAGAGGAACCGTTGAGCGTTGCGCTGGGTGAGTTTTTATTTTAAAAGTATATGTTTTGGGAAAAATAGAGCTGGCAGTTGGAAAATAAGGCCAACAGATGGCCTTCCGGAAGGACTATTCAAAAAAATATTTTTTCCAAGCTGCGCCCGAGCTTTGACGCCTTGTTTTTCTTTGATGGTTACAGACCCCATTTGGCCTGAATTCGCAAAATATCTTCATCAAAAAACCCAATTTTTTAAAGCGAAATTGTGAAAGTTAGAACCAAAAATATATTTTTTCTCTCGCCGACTCTCCTCATTTTGCGTACTCTCTCGAATTTTTTTGGATGTCTTGGCTGCGCTTGCGAAGAAAAAGCTGAAATTTTCAGTAATTGATTATAGGATTATTTAGATCAGTATGGAAAAATTTCAAGAAACTAGAAGGTCCAATTTTTGAGATGCCTTTACTTTTTTTAATAAAAATTTTTTATTTTTCAATTATTTTATCTTTCAATTTTTCCACAAAAAATCAATTTCATAAACGAAGAAGTTTTCCTTGCTGACTAAACATATTTCCAGGGGTGGATCCAAAAGTCATGAATGACCAATTGACCAACAAGGTCTCCAGTTTTTGCCTCGATTTTCCATTTTCGACTTTGGCCTTTGATGGTGACAAATTGGTCGCTTACATTATGGTTTCATTGGATATTATTGACGGAAATCATCCGAGACTTCCGAAGGAGATCCCTGAAGACTTTGGACCATGTAAGTTGCAAACAGTATTACTGTAACAAAGAGTTTTTTCTTTTCTGTACAAAAACCCCAAAATTTTGATTTTTTTGATAAAAAACGTTAATTTTGCTTGAAAATCTAGATAAAAAATGACTGAAACTGTTGATTACAGTAAGGTTGTGACGTCTCTTACATGTTTTTGCCGACTATTCCATCGATTTTTTTCAGTATTTGAAAAATACGCCAATAAATTTGGAATTACCGATCCAAAAACCGCCGATATCACTGGAACTGTCTGGTATGCGTGTGACATGGTAGCGAACTTCCTCCCAGAAGGTGAGAAGCATATTGTGGCGCATGGAGAGATGGGATCGGTCATGAAAGAATATACTGGGTAAGTTTTTTGAGATTTTTTGAGTGCTTGAGAGGATTTTTACATTGGCAGGCTGCGCCCTAGCCAAGGTGATTTTAAAGCTGAATTTGAGTTTAGTTGCTGGTTACATTTGAAAAGATGGAAGAATTTTGCAAAATTTGGTTGATTTTAAATTTTTTATTTTTTCGAGCTGCGCCCTATCTTTTTTGTTTTTTGCAAGCTGCGCCCTAGTTTCTCTTTTTTTTGTCTTTTTGTAAATAATGAACCATAATGGACTTACCTGGCCTAAAATTACAAAATTTTTTTAGTCATTGCGAGCTGCGCCCTATGTTCATTAAATTTTTGATCTTTGCAGCTTGCGCCCTGGCTTAAAAATTTGTACACTTTTGAAAAAAAGCTTTTCTCGTAATAAGTGGCATGAGCTACGGTTGCAGGATATCGTATTTTTATGTCCTAAGTTTTAAACAAGGATAGGAAGCTTCGCAGCTTGCGTCCTCACTGTTTTTCCAAAAATTCTCCAATCCTGATGAAATTTCAGCAATAATCTTGTCGCTGCGTTGATCGTCGAAGGAGCAAAACACATTGCCAGCACCGGCCTTTGTGATTATTATTACGGGACTGCAACCGCCGCTGCAACGGCTCATCTGAACCCACAACTGGGCTTGCGCGAAGTGTGGTCGTTGAAGGTGAAGGACATCAGTGTTGGCGGGAGAAGAGTCTACAAACAGGATGTCCTGCACGAAGGCGCTGATCGAATCACAATTAATTTGGGAAAGATTCAAGATGTGGCCAACACGGATTACCTCAACAAAAAGGGAATTTTCTAAGGATTAGAATCATAATAAATATGTCGATTTATTATGATTTTTATGCGAAAATAAACTCTGAAATCTCGTCTAACAATATTTGATGAAAGAAATAAATGCCATCAAGAATGGAGGATTCAAGTTTTACATATGCATTTTTTCTTGCGCAAATTTTCAATCCGTAATAAGAAAAAAAGAAGGCATATTGTAAGTCTAATAAATGTTTAGATACTCCAACGTCGTGTTTGTCTCAGCGTGAGTTTTGAAAGAGCCGGCCATAAAGAGTGCCACCGAAACTGTTGTTGTATACAATATTACCAGTAGAGTAATTAACTGACACCAAGTTTGTATCCATCTTGTCAAATACTCCCTGAGAAGTTCGACGGTGATTCCGAGTGAAACGATGATTCCCAAAAGGGAGAGCTTGTCTGTAAATAAGCGGAGTAGCCTACGATCTCTTCTTAGGGCGGTATTACGAAAAAACTGAGTGTCGCAGTTTTGTTAGCGGTCACCGCGATTGAGTACGGAGAGGTCCGCTTCGTAAAGGTCCGCTAAAAAAGGAAAGAAGAGGAAGAGTAGGGGAGGTTTTCGATAGCGCTAATTTCGAAAATCATATCAATTTTTTCTGAATTTTACAATTTTGCTTAAGCAGTAGTGTCATTTTCGCTGCAAAGACGAAAAAACGTCATACGTTTTTTTACAATGTCATACAAGTTTGACCAAGTTTTTACCAATTAAAACATTTATTTTAAAGAATTGAGGAAGATAGGCAAAAATTCAGAAGAAATGGATACAATTTTCAAAATCAGCACCACCGAAAACCCCTAAATCCATTACTCAAAAAAAAATTTTTTTAATTACTAATTAACACTACTGCTTAAGCTAAATTGTAAAATTCAGAAAAATGGATACGATATTCGAAATCAGCTCCATCGAAAACCTCCCCCCTCCCCACCCTTCTCTTTTCTAGCGGACCTTTCCGTCCTTCGTGTCAAAAGGTTATTATAAAAAAAACGTACAATCTTGTGCTCATTATTTTCACGACACACTGACAGCCCGCTCGCAAAATCGATGGAGTTTTTTTCCGACAAGCACTGTCAGAAGGCAAAACTTCACTTTTCACTGTGAAATTTGTAGCTTACCGTAAGTGGTAAATGTTTGCGAGGCCAAATAAAAATGATTGACAATAGAAACAGCGGGCCAGCAGATCAAGTACATCCAATACGATGAATTGTCCAATAATTCCGCAATAAAGCATTCGTAGAGAGCGTTCTCGTAATGATACAGTAACACGGACATTGTCATCGAAATGACAAATCGTTTTGACCAAGTCAAACTCATGATTGGAAAAATCAGCTGCGCTAACAGTAATATCATTGCAAGATTTGGGATGCTGAAGATGTATCGCAAGTATGTTGACTTTTTCGATGTTTCCTTGTTGGTAGGCAGGCTTTGAAATTGCTCAAAATCATGTTGCTTCAATGCAACTGTCAGAAATCCAAGAAGGAACTGCCAAAGGCGTGAGAAGAAGTGCATTTCCGTCATTGCTACTGCTAAAAAACAAAGGTGTATAGTATGTATTTGTCGGTTTGAACAGATGGATCAATAAACAAACTCCAATGCATGTTTACATGTTTACATTTTTTCCAATTTTTTTCAACCACTAAATACAATCTTCCAACTAAAACTACAACAAACTGTCCATCCGGAGTCTTCTTATTTGAATTACGGGGGTGGTATAGTAGGTATACTAGCTACGACAAACTTTACTCTTTTTTGCTTTGTTTGCAGGCCTTATTAACAGTTTACTAGCCCTTCTCACATATGACCCGTTTGTATGTAATCCTTTTTTGGCTACGAGGTTAGTTGGTTTAGCCAGCCCTTAAAGTCTAGAAGCTTAACCTTGACAGATGATCCGAAGTTTAGAGCAGTTGATAACCGAAAAAGCAAAGATGCGTTGTAGAGTCTGGGTGGACCTAAGAGCGCAATCGCCCATAGAGACTATGCAAATCCGGGGTAAAGACGGACTTGCGGTTTATCGCTTTAGCTAACCCACAACACGAAAATATAGGTCTCTTTTTTACCATCACTTTTTCATCATTCGGGCCCTAGACTGACGCTATAGCATCCTCAACAGCACTTACCATTACGATGACAAGTTTGAAACGTCAAACTCATCATCCCCAATGACATAACGAACGTTGCTCCTAACGTTCTCTGCAGAGACGATAGATACGAGTAAATTGAATAGACCGCCGGTGCGATTGCGCAGAATTGAACAACAATCGAAACTGCCCTTGTATGGTAAAATACGGAGTTATCTTCTCCGATTTTTGTACTTCCATTGCGTTCGAAACCAAGCACATTTGAACTGAATGCAGCGGCTGTCAGACTCTCGTAATAAGTTTGAGAACTATGCATTTTGTCAGGGATTGACGGGCTGATAAGTGCGGTAAGTAGTACGAATAGTAAGTAGGGAGGAATAAATTGACGGACTCCTTGAAAGTAGAAGGCCAAAGCGTTAGAAAATGACATCTTCTCAGCACTCAGCGCCAAGTGCGTGAGAAATCCGGTGATAACGAAGAACCTGAAAGTTTGACGGATCTTAAACGCATCATTTCCAATTTTTTTTAGATTTTGCGACAATGAAAAACCTGAATTTTCCAGTAACATTTTTATCAGTCTGTCGGGAAAATAATGTGGATTCATTGCGTCTTGAAATCGCCCATTATCGAGTTGCGACAGCGGCAAGGTGTGGACAAGGCGGTATACTATTTTGGTGCAACAAATCCACATTATTTTTCCGACCGAGCGATAACCAGCAGGTACGGTTGGTAGAGGCGCCTAGGGCTATGTTTTTCATGAAATAGATCTACAAGCGTTAGTGTTTTTGCAGCTGCTTGTATCCTAGTTTGTTCGGGTTATCTCCACATGACAAAAGCCTTCAATCTTTACAATAAATTGTCAACCTACATATCAATTCCAAGAAATCCATTCGCAAAATGTTCTGGCCATAGATTGAATAGAATCACGAAAATAACAGAGAAGAACCGTACTCCAGAAACGCTCATCTCGCTTGCTTATAGTCACCAGCTCTCCTACTCTTCTGCTGGTAAAAAAGCTGCAAACTTTCGATTACAAACGACCTGGAAACCCCCAAAATACATATGTATACATATATATATATAAGCTGTGGGCGGAACTACAACAAAATCTCTTAAACGTTGTCTTGTTTGATCAGCAAAACGATGTTTTTGTAGGCAACATCATTTGTATAATACATAGTTAGAAATAAAAACTTATTATTCAAAAATTCAAATGATAACACAGTTTATTGATTCGTCATACACGCGATTCCATTGAATAGTTTCAACTTTTAACGCCAAGAACCACTCCAGAGACTTCAACAACGGACTAGTTGTCAAAAGCGGACAGGCTATTGACCCTCAAAAACGGGGTTTATTCACTTGGAAAGGGAGGTATTTTGCCGCATTTTTGATACTTCCCGGATGCAAAATGGTACGTTTTTGCCACTAGATCAGGTCACTGTAGCCCTCGCGCTGCATAAACACGCTTTTAATCAGCATTTCACGAGGAGAGCAGGGTTTTCCAAAAACATGCAAAAAACGTAGGCGGTAGAGCTATGGATTTCAACGGCTGTAATTTTTGTCACAACCAGGCTCATTGAGATCAAAAAACAATTTAAATTTTATCGGATTCGTATTGTTTGTGCTACAAAAAGGGCGATTTGAAGGAAGCAATATGGGCAATAAAATTTTGTTGGCCACAAATCCCACAGTCACATATGTGTTTGGTTCATTAATTTGTTGTGGTCTAAAAAGAGCAACCAATATTTTTAACCACTCTCTCAAAAAAATACACAAATTCAGAGGCCTATTTCAACTTTATTTCCTATTTTCTTTTCATATAGTCGTATTTGGCGATATCCTGGACCAGCCCAAAGTTCCCAGTGATCGCTCCGAGGCCGGCTTTGCCTTCTCTCTTTCTGAGCGGAAATTCCCCATCAACTTTGATGTCGTCGTAGTTGAGGCGCCAAACCTCGCACGCACCTTTCTTCCCGCCCACTCTTGCCGTCTCAGTGGCCGTTGCATTCCCATAAATGTAGTTGCAAATCCGATCGGCGGCCATTTGACGGGCCGTTTCGATGAGTAGAACGGAACTGATGCCATTTCTGAAACACGGTCAGATTTTATTGTTGATAGGTATAAAACAAATCAAGATGCTGATAGCTCAACATTGAACGTATGTTTTTTAATTTTTCATAGTCACTCAGACATGTTTACAGCCCAAATTTTAAAACTCTCAAAAAATTCAACTTCCTTACCCAGTGTACGGCTTAGCGACCGACGCCAGTGCCCCAAATCCCAAGATGTATCGTTCCATTTTGGGCAGAAAATTGGGGACAACTTCGGCACCGTAGTAGGCAAGCCCCAGAAAATATTTCATCTTCTTCTCCGTGATACCATGTTGTTTCGCGTAGTTGTCGAACACTGAAAAACAAAAAAAAAGTAAGGAAAGTTCAGCTATATTACTTCTGAAACCACAAAGAGCAATTTTGTCGTCTCTTACTTGGCCCAAAGTCATCCACTTCAACCGGTGCGAAGGTTCGGCTCTCATCAAAAACTTCAACTTTGCTCAAAGCAAACCCAACCATCTGGTCGCCGTCCATGATCATGATAGAATACGGGAAACGGAGGCACTTTTCGATCAAGGGCAAGGTGAAATACTTCAAGATGTCTTCCGGAGGGCACCCTGAAAAATAAAAGTTTTGAAGTTGAGAAGAATTTGTATGACATATAACATAAGCTGTCGTGGGGAGCAGTTCTTGTAAGATTTTCTTCGTAATTTTGAAAACGAGCAGTGCCTATAAGCCATGCACCAATCCCCGTGAATTTTCAGCTATAATCTGTAGTGGTACTTGAGAGATGATTAAAACCTTTTGTAATATACAGTTCAGAAAGTGAGACGGCAAGAGAAAAAAATTGTCGATTATAACTTTCTCAAGGGAAGAACCACAAGTGCAATGCTCAGATTTTGAAAAAGCTTGACACAAATTTAGAATAATTTTTTCTGAGAGATATGCCAGCCTCCTAGCCGGCGCTTTGCAGAAACAACCAAGATTTTTTGGTCGAAAACTGGCAAAAAAGCGGAAATTTTTTTTGGCGAACTTTGGCACAAAAAGTTTCATACATTTATACCCTAGAGTGCAATTTTCTCCCAAACAATTTTTCCGCAAGAAGCTGGAAAAGATACGGCCAAAAAATGCTTTTCCACACTGACCGCTCTCCGCTTTTCGCATACTCTCTTGGCCGCAAAGCTCATACAATATCCCGGTTGCCCCTGAAAAATTCGACCTAAAACTAGCCGAATTTGATATGTGGGAAAAAGTTCCTTATTTTGGCCACAACAAAGGTACTCCGCGAACTGCGCCCAAGCTTGGGCACTAAAGTTAGGAAAAAACGCTTCAACCTAGCTGGCACTGAATTACTATAATAATAGCCCTATAGTTTTAAGGGTACCTACGAAGGCTGTGACGACTCATTTAGTTCCATACGGAGGCAATAAGTTTAGTTCCGGACATGTTTCATCGTATAAAGTGTAAAATCACAGGCTGCAGCCGTTTTTGAAGGGTAACGTGGTACGTAAAAAGAAGGGACCTCACTATCTAAATCCACTGCCCGGGCATTGACAACGATGAATTGAGCGTGCATGCTAAATTTGGGCTAATTCCGACCAGTTTCCGCAAAGTTATAAGTTGTGGCCAAAATAAGGAACTTTTACCCTATGCCTGACGTGTGGGCAAAATTCGAAGAAAATATGGGCGTCGCACGTCAAACTGAGGAGTCCGGTGACCGGAATAGACACTTCGCTATCGGTTTTTTACATTTCGTCTAGTTTGACGTGCGTCGCACTTGGTGTACTTCCCTTGTAAAATAGACAAGACAAAAGCAGATTTTTGAGAGAATATCTTTCTTTCTCCGCATGAAAAGTAGAATGCCAATTTTGCCCCGCTAAAAATGAGGCAAAGATGAACTCACCCAGAGCAATAGTCAAGGGTTCTGGATGGTACAAAGTTTTGCAGTACTTCTCGAAGGTCCCAAGATCCGATGGCTGCGCGACTTGGAGGCTGACAGTTTTCCCAGGCTTCTTGTGGAGAGGAAAATTTGGCACCACAACTTGTCGATATGACGCGAATCTTTTGATTGTCCCGCCAAAATGGCGAGGAATCCCGTTCGAAAATGAGGTCGGAATGAGGGAAGTGGAGCTGAAAAATAAGTAAATGTTTTTTGTAAAGGGGTAAAACATGGTAAAAGAAGAGGATAGTGAATAAAACTCACCGTAACATGCCGACGTCAGCCGAAGAAAGGGAAAAATCAACCGAAATGCCGTAATTTTACAATAAGCCAAAATCAACAAAATTGCACTGTGCAAAAGCACTTTTCGAGTTCGTGCACAGTGCAGACTCGCAGAAAATTCCAAGGACTTTTTGCCGCGACTAGTAAATTTCGAAATTTTTTTATTTTTTTCTATTTTTAAAATTTTTCATAATTTTTGGTCTCGATTATTGCAAAAATCGGTCGGAAAATCGTTGAAAATGCATCAGTAATAGTCCAATTTGAGGGGCTTTGGTAGAAATTGAGGCGCCAAACTTCAGGCATGCCAAGTTTTGGGGCCACGCTGCCCGTCTCATTTGCTGTCGGATTCCCATAAAAGTAGTTGCAAATCCGATCGGCGGCCATTTGACGGGCATTTTCGATGATAATAGCGGAGGCAAGGCCATTTCTGAAAAAATGGCCAAATTTACTGCTGGCAGGTCTAAAAACTATCGAGATGCCGATGACTTAGCACTGAATATAGATTTTAAAGTTTTGGATGACCGTCATAGACATTTTGTAGCCCAAATTTTGAAAATCTCAAAAAAAAATAAATTCCCTACCCAGTATACTCCTTAGCCACCGATGCCAGCGCACCATGCCCCAGGACATATCGTTCCATTTTGGGTATAAAATTGGGGACAACGTCATTTTGCAAAAACAAACAGTCGGTTAGCGCTGTACGAGCAGAGCAGTGATTTCCCAATAACATAAACAAAACCGTAGGCGGAAGCGCTACAGATTTCAACGGCTGAAAGTTTTTGTCACAACCAGGCTCATTGAGATCACAAAACAATTTAAATTTTATCGGATTCGTATTGCCTGTGCTACAAGAACGGGAGATTTGAAGGAAGCAACATGGATCTGACAATGAAATTTTGTTGGCCACAAATCCCACAGTCACATATGTGTTTGGTTCCTTAATTTGTTGTGGTCTATAAAGAGCAACCAATATTTTTAACCATTCTCTCAAAATACACAAATTCAGAGGCCTAGATCAACTTTATTTCCTATTTTCTTTTCATATAGTCGTATTTGGCGATATCCTGGACCAGCCCAAAGTTCCCAGTGATCGCTCCGAGGCCGGCTTTGCCTTCTCTCTTTCTGAGCGGAAATTCCCCATCAACTTTGATATCATCGTAGTTGAGGCGCCAAACCTCGCCCGCACCTTTCTTCTCGCCCACTCTGGCCGTCTCAGTGGCCGTCGCATTCCCATAAACGTAGTTGCAAATCCGATCGGCGGCCATTTGACGGGCCGTTGCGATGAGGAGAACGGAAGTGATGCCATTTCTGAAACACGGTCAGATTTTATTGTTGATAGGTCTAAAACAAATCAAGATGCTGATATAATAGCTGTTGACAGGTCTAAAAATTGTCGAGATGCTGATGACTTAGCACAGAATATATGTAGATTTAAAAGTTGTGGATGACCGTCATAGACATTTTTGTAGCCCAAATTTTGAAAATCTCAAAATAATAATAAATTCCCTACCCAGTATACTCCTTAGCCACCGATGCCAGCACACCATGCCCCAGGACATATCGCTCCATTTTGGGCATAAAATTGGGGACAACGTCGGAAGCATAGCAAGCAATTCCCAGGGCAGTTTTCATCTTCTTCTCCGTGACACCGTGGAGTTTCGCGTAGTGTTCGACGACTGAAAACAGAGGAAATTAAAAAAAGCTCACAGGGGAAGTACTCCAAGTGTGACGCACGATTTTTGCCGCCGAGAGAGCACGCTAAACGTGGAGAGCGGTCAGAGAGGAAAACGCTTTTTGGCCATAACTTCGGCAGTTTCGTGCGAAAAAGTTTGATCTTTTGTAGAAACATTGTCCTTTACGGTAGAAACAGGCATGAAACTTTTCGTGCCGAAATTCGGCAAAAAGTCCTAAATTTTCGCCGACTTTCGATCTAAAAATCTCGGTTGTTCCTGCAAAGCGCGAGGATTCTCGCATATATCTTAAAAAAATTATTCAAATTTGTGCCAAGTTTCATCAAAGTCTGAGCGTCGCACTTGGAGTACTTCCCCTGTCAGTTATATTATTCGTTAACCCAAAAAGAACAAATTTTCGTCTCTTACTGGGCCCAAAGTCATCCACATTGAGCGGCGCCAGAGGCCGGTGCTCATCAAAAACTTCGACGGTAGTCAAAGAGAATCCGACCATTTGATCGCCGTCCATTACCATGGTCGAATACGGGAAACGGAGGGAATTTTCGATCAAGGGCAACATGAAATGCTTGTGGACGTCTTCCGGTGGGCATTCTGAGGTGTTCCAAATTAAAAACGTGTTATAACTTCTATAAAAAATAACGTCTCGAGGATAGGTCCAAGCTAGACATGGCTCGTCGGCCGGCCCGGGAATCTCGGCCCGGCCCGTCGGCCTGAAGGGTTCCGGCCGGCCCGGCCCGTTTCAAATTTTCCGTCGGCCCGGCCCGGCCCGTTTTAAATTTGCTTCGGCCCGGCCCGGGCCGGCCCATTGAAACGAAAGTCTCCCCAAGTCTAACTCCTTATGACCAAATTTTTTTCTATCATCATGTAAATGGATAAATACTGTGTTCCATAGCTATCTAAAAACAAGGAAAACTTTAAAAAAACCAATTGTGTCTTGACATTGCGTTCATTTTCATTATCAAACCCAATTTTCACTTCGAGATTCTGGATTTTAAATATTCCGGGCCGGGCCGGGCCGAAACGCCGGCCCGGCCTGTCTAGTCCAAGCAACCGGAATCGAGCGATCTTTTTTCGGTCAAGAGAGTATGCAAAACGTGGAGAGCGGTCAGAAGGAAAAACTTTTTTCGCCAAAATTTTAACAGTAAATTTTGGTGCCAAGATTTGCAAAAAAGTTTCGTATTTTTTCTTTTCTTTTTTTGCCTCCTGGCCCATTCCCATCATTAAAAAACTTACAGAAAAAGTTTGTCAAAAAAAATGAACTCACCAAAAGCTATAGTCAAGGGTTCCGCATGATATAAAGTTTTGCAATACTTCTCAAAAATCCCAAAATCACTTGGCTGCGCAACCTCAATGCTGACAGTTTTCCCAGGCTTCTTGTGGAGAGGATAATTTGGGACCACAACGTGTCGATTCGAGGCGAATCTCTTGATTGTGCGGCTCAACTGGCGGGAAACTCCGTTCGGAAATGAGGTCGGAATAATGGAAATGCGGCTGAAAAAATAAGGCAAATTTTATGTCAAAGATAAAATACGATAAAAACAAGTTAAAAACAGAATAAAACTCACCGTAGCATGCCCGCTTGAGCCGAGGAAAGGGAAAAATTCAACCGAAATGCCGTAATTTTAAATTTTGAAATTTTTTTATTTTTTTTATTTTTTGATTACTTCGTTCATTATTTTTATTTTTCATTTGTTGGCCTTACTTTTTTGCAAAAATCGGTCGGAAAATCGTTGAAAATGCATCAGTAATAGTCCAATTTGGTTCTTCGTATTTTACCCCGCCTATTTTTTTCAATATTACTTTTCAAGGCCGAGGTTCTCCCTCCTCTTCAGTCAATATTCTGGCCAAACTTGGCCGTTTCAATCCAGTTCTGACATGAGCGCATTTTCCTCGTGCTACAAAACGGGCGATTTAAAAGAAAAAAATAATGACCCGGCTACGAAATTTGCTGTAATCCACAGTCATATTACTTCTTCCACAAGGACATGTGTGGTCCAAACAGCAGTGTTAATTATTAAAAATATACATTCAAACGATCAAATTATTATACATTTATTTTTTGTTTAACATAATCACTTTAGTCCTCAAAGTTCCAAAATTATAAGTCTTTTATTCCTATTCCATTTTCAAATACTCATATTTGGCAATATCCTGAACCAGGCCAAAGTTCCCAGCGATCGCTCCAAGGCCGGCTTTCACGTTGCTCTTCTTGATCGCAAATTTCCCGTCAATTTTGATGTCAGTGAAATTGAGGCGCCAAACTTCAGGCATGCCAAGTTTTGGGGCCACGCTGCCCGTCTCATTTGCTGTCGGATTCCCATAAAAGTAGTTGCAAATCCGATCGGCGGCCATTTGACGGGCATTTTCGATGATAATAGCGGAGGCAAGGCCATTTCTGAAAAAATGGCCAAATTTACTGCTGGCAGGTCTAAAAACTATCGAGATGCCGATGACTTAGCACTGAGTATACATTTTAAAATTTTGGCTGACCAGCATAGACATTTTTGTGGCGCAAATTTTGAAAATCTCAGAAAAAAAATAAATTCCCTACCCAGTATACTCCTTAGCCACCGATGCCAGCGCACCATGCCCCAGGACATATCGTTCCATTTTGGGCATAAAATTGGGGACAACGTCGGAAGCATAGCAAGCAATTCCCAGGGCATTTTTCATCTTCTTCTCCGTGACACCGTGGAGTTTTGCGTAGTGTTCGACGACTGAAAAAGGGAAGACAGTAAGGAAACTCCATCTTTGCGGTTTAGAAACCACAAATAACAATTTTTTGTCCCTTACTGGGCCCAAAGTCATCCACATTGAGCGGCGCCAGAGGCCGGTGCTCATCAAAAACTTCGACGGTAGTCAAAGAGAATCCGACCATTTGATCGCCGTCCATGACCATGATCGAATACGGGAAACGGAGGGAAGTTTCGATCAAGGGCAACATGAAATGCTTGTAGATGTCTTCCGGTGGGCATTCTGAGGTGTTCCAAATTAAAAACATGTTGAAAAGTAATTTCTCGAAAAAATGTCACATTTTTGCTTTTTTTTCTTTGCCAATTTTATGCGGAAAAAAGGGTTTTCTACCCAACCGTCTTGTCACATAAAAAAAAAATTTTCAGCCATCCAATAAAACTTATAAAAAATGAACTCACCAAAAGCTATAGTCAAGGGTTCCGCATGATATAAAGTTTTGCAATACTTCTCAAAAATTCCAAAATCACTTGGTTGCGCGACCTCAATGCTGACAGTTTTCCCAGGCTTCTTGTGAAGAGGATAATTTGGCACAACAACGTGCCGATTTGAGGCAAATCTCTTTGTCGTGTGGATCAAACCACACATGGGAATTCCATTCCAAAATGAAGCCTGAATGTGGGAAATGGAGCTAAAAAAATAAATAATATTCTTTGTAAGGGATAAAATACGGGAAAACAGGTTTAAAAAATCAAATAAAACCCACCGTAACATTCCGACTTAAGCCGAAGAAAGGGAAAAATCAACCGAATGCCGAAATTTTTTATTTATATTTTTTAAAATTTTTTCCATTTTTTGTTTTTGATAACTTCAAATTTCGAAACTCGTAAGTCTTTTATTCGTATTCCTATTTCAAATACTCGTATTTGGCAACATCCTGAACCAGGCCAAAGTTCCCAGCAATTGCTCCAAGGCCGGCTTTGGCTTTTCTCTTCTTGATCGCAAACTTCCCGTCAATTTTGATGTCAATGAAGTTGAGGCGCCAAACTTCCGCCAGACCAACTCTTGGCGCCACTTTCGCCGACTCACTGGCCGTGGGGTTCCCATGAATGTAGTTGCAAATTCGGTCGGCTGCCATTTGACGGGCAGTTTCGATGAGAACGGCGGAGACGAGGCCGTTTCTAAACAAGGTCCAAATTTATCATTTTTTCCTTACCCAGTGTACTCCTTAGCCACCGAAGCCAGCGCACCATGCCCCAGGACATATCGTTCCATTTTGGGCATAAAATTGGGGACAACGTCACCGGCGTAGTAAGAAATCCCCAGAAAATCTTTCATCTTCTTCTCCGTGACACCGTGGTATTTCACGTAGTATTCGACTACTAAAACACAGAAGAAAGTGAAATCCAATCAGGGCATTTTTAAACCAAAAATGGAAAAAAACTATCTCTTACCATCTCCAAAGTCATCCACATCAACCGGCGCGAGAGGCCGGTGCTCGTCAAAAACTTCGATGGTACTCAAATTGAATCCAACCATTTGATCGCCGTCCATTACCATGATAGTATACGGGAAACGAAGGGCCCGTTCGATCAAAGGCAAGGTGAAATGCTTATAGACCTCTTCTGGAGGGCATTCTGAAATTAGAAAAGTCTTGAAAATGAAAAAAGTAAAACATTTTCTCAAGAGTTCTAATAATTGACTGTCCTTCGAAGGAGTGACTATTAGTCTGTCGGGAAAATAATGAACAGTCCGCCGCATCAAAAATCGCATCGCTGCCGGGAAAATGAATTGTGTCGCGACAAATTACTAAATTTCTTTTGACTTCAGCGACCTGATTGGCGTAGCACCATTGTGCTCATTATTTTTCCGACAGTTTGATATAAAAAAACAAAATACGCTTTTTTTGTATCACTTCGACAAAAAAAGGCGAAAAAGAAAACAACTCACCAAAAGCTATGGCCAACGGCTCCGCATGATATAAAGTCTTACAATACTTTTCAAAAATCGCAATATCAGTTGGTTGCGCAACCTCAATGCTGACAGTTTTCCCAGGCTTCTTGCGGAGAGGATAACTTGGGACCACAACGTGTCGATTCGAGGCAAATCTCTTGATTGTGTTGCTCAACTGGCGGGAAATTCCTTTGGGAAATGAGGCCAGGAGGGAAAAGGAGCTGGAAAATGGTAAAATAATTTTTTGGAAAGGTAAAATACGACAGTTTTAATAGAATAGAAGAGAATAAGAAGATTTTCGAGAAAAAATCGAATAAAAACCTCGATGACGCTTACTGTAACATACTCAATGGAGAAGAAAAAACGGCGAAAAAAGAAAAAATCAACCGAAATGCCTTTAATTTTAAATTTGAAAATTTTTAATTTTGATTTTTTTTTAATTTTTTGTCCGTTCAAAATTTTTCCATTATTTTCGCCTCATTTTTCGCAAAAGTCGGTCCGAAAATCATCAAAAATGCTTCGGTAAGCGTTCGTGTGCCTCTCCGTATTTTACCCCACCCATCTTTCGTCAATTTTATTTTTCCAGGTACCCACATTTCCTCTCCTCCTCAGTCAATATTCTCGCCAAAGTTCGTCGGTTCAGTTCAGCTCCGAACGCCTTTTCCTACAATCGGAAGGTCTTGATCCCGAATTTCCCTCTGAAAAAGGCTCCAGGAAAGACGATCAGCATCGAAGTGGCGGAGTACAGCGATGTCAAAATGATCGAGAACTTTTGTGTGGAGGCCTTTCTGCAGCATGAACCGATTTTGAAGTATCTGGGTGAGTTTGTTGACGATTTTGTACAAAAATTTGGTCGCAGCCTGCGAACAATTGCGGTTCCAAGGAATATAAGGCTCAGGCTTAGCCCTAGGCGAGTTAAACTTAGTTCAGGCTTAGCCTAGGCTTAGATTGGCGCTGAATTTTGACATTCTAAGAGTGGGTTGTGAATATTTTTTTCACTATTTACATTTGTAAAAAATCAAACACTCGATTTTCCCGCCATTTTTTAAAATTTTTTAGCGTTTTGTTTTAGATGCGATTTGAGTCATAGCCCATTTAGAAATTACTTTTTGATAACCCTGACTTTATCTTCTTACCAAAGAAATATTTCTCCAGAGATCGACAGAGACACTTTTGTCAACGAAATCCTCGACGGAATGTCCAGACAATGTCTCCGGTTCCCATACTCAATCGTGGCCATGGATGGTGACAAAATGGCCGGATACTATCTCGGCTTTGTCGAGATAATTGACGAGAATTCCGTCCCTTCGCCCATGGGGGTTAAGGATTTTGGCCTTTGTACGTTTTTTTTTATTTTTAAATTTTTTTGATTTTATTTGCAGTACACGACCACTACGTCAACAAGTACCAGATCAAGAAGAGGAATGCTGCAGTTTGCTCTACCGTCGTCAATTACTGTTTGGGAATGATCGGGCATTTCGTCCCGAGAGATAATGGAAGAGTACTGATGGGCCATGGTGAACATGCGGCTGTTGCAAAGGAATATAGTGGGTAAGCAGGCATTTAAAATTCATTTTTAATACTTTTACGGCTCTAATTTTGAGATGCTGCTGCAACTTGACATCCTTTTGCCAAACTTTTGACATTTTTCTTTCTTTTCCTGATATTCCGACCTCGAAACTCCTAAAACAAAGATATTTTGCAAAATCAGCCTTTGCTTTTTAAAATACGACCAAATCTCTTTTGATTTCAGTAACAATATCCTCCAGACTATGCTGATTTCGGCCGCCAGAGAGATGAGGGCCGATGGATTTGTCAAAATGCTCTGTGGAATCACGACTGGCAACGTTTCCACTGCCAATATGCTGGAGCTGGGCTACTCGCTTGTTTGGGAAATACCTTATCGCGACTTCAAAATCCACGGCGAACCCGTGTTTGGCGATGGAGTTCTGCATGACGGAGGAAGCAAGATCAGCTTGTTCTTAGCTGATGTGGATGCTGTTGCTGATAGAGAGTTGCCTAAATAAATTTGTTTCTTATGGAGAATTGAAAAATAAATTTGGCAGCTTTCGCTGCCTGACCAAAACCAGTTAGTTTTGGCCATTCATCGTTCAGATGAGACCAATTATCATTCAGATTGGATCACCAGAGGAATCGAGCGAAAGGCCATCAAATCGTTCGTCGCTTTTGGTTTGGGGAAACTTCTTTTCTCTGACTGTCTGCAGTCTCTCCAAACCCGTGGTCGCTGCCGAAAACGTGAATTGTCTTCCGACAAAATCATTGCTCTTCAGCGACGCGATTGGCGCATCGATTTTGTGCTCACTATTTTCCCGGCGGACTGAAATGTTGATTTTTGAAAATTGGAAATAATTTTGATCAAAAAATTGCAAATATAAAAGTTTTTTAATTTTCGATTGATTCATCATTTAGCACACAAAGAATTCCTCAAAAATGTCTCTAAAAGAGTTGGTCGTGATTTGTATTCTCCTGTCGTTTGTTGGTCATTCCGACGGATTTTGTTTCTTCCATATTCAATGTCGATATTCGTAAGATTTCTTGTATAAGGACCAGTTTTTTGTGGAAGTGATTTTATATTTTGTCTTGGCCAATTCTGAAGAAATATACATTTTTGTTAATTTTCGGAAAGCCTGAATGAGATTGATCTCTGTATGTAAAATCATTTTGAATATCCTCGCTTTGATAGTTCTTAGTTTCCTCTTTTAGATGCGGTTACAACGCTGTTGCTAAATGCACCTTCGTCGGATGTCTTTGCACCCCAATTCCCGGCAGCGATGAGTCAGACCGCAAAGTAATGAAGACAAACCGTCTTCTTGATTGAAATTGAATCATCATGACCGACGAGGATAATCAATTTTTGTGGAGTTATTTATTACGAAGTGGTTGAATAAAGTATGATGTATATTTGTACATTTTACTGCGAATATTGGACATGTTTTTATACGATAAAAATGGTTGCGATCTTTCATTGTCATCACTTTTAGAAATTGCCAACAAACCTGCTTGGGCTGTAAATTTTTATTTCCCTTCTACAACTTTCTCTAGAATACTATAATAATTTACAATATTTACATGATTTTTCTGCCATTCAGCCATTCCTCTACACTAGTTAAAAATTCTAAAAATAGACATTCGATTAATGACGTCACTATTTATATTCAATGTTCATTATACCCGTCGTTGGCGGCTTTCCTTCTTCCTCTCGTAGAATCTGGCGACATGCTCGTTGTCCGCGATCAGAATCGACATCTTCTTGCCTCCATCGATCATCACGCCGCCCGGAAACATCGGTTTTCCGTGGATCTTGGCTTCGGAAAACGGAAATGAATACACCTCCTCGAAGCCCAGTGTTAGTGCGGCACAAAGGCTGTCGGCGGAAGTGTTGACTCCAAAGTAGTGGCCAATCCCATGACTAGCCATTTGTTGGGCCGCTGAGACCACTAATTTTGTGTGAATTCCATGGCTAAAAGGACCATAAGTAATGCAAAATAAGTCGAATCTTGTTGCTGAGCGCTTTAGAACATAGAACGGGCATTACCGCTAACAAAAAAGTTCCCTTACCCTTCTAGTCCGCTGTCGACCACACTCAAATGACCTTGCCCTACATAACCACGCTCGATCGGAAGAAAACTTGGGGCAATGTCGTTGAAGTAGTTCAAAAATGCCAACACAGCGGCCACCTCGTAGTTCTCGTAGTACATTCTGAGCTGATGGATATCTGAAAAACAGAGAATTTCATCAAAATGGCGTGCATGACCATTTTATACGATGAAACATGACTATATCAAAAACGGACCACTTTCAGCATGTAAAACAATTCAAGATCAAAAATAGGAATATAACCGGGAATTACATAAAAATAGTACAAAAAAATGTATAGGCTACATTTTATATGATGAAACTTGTATAAGAGGGAAAAAAATCATCGTATAAAATGTCCAAAAAGCTAAAAGATATATGGAAATAAAGTAAAAATGTAAAATACGTCAATGAATCTTAGTATTTTGTGTGACATTTTATACGATGAAACCTTCCAAATAACCACAAACATGTTTCATCGTATAAGATGTCTCTAAACATATTTTGCTCACCTGTTCCAAAGTCCTTGGGAATTTTCAGTTCCGAGGTGTCCTTTCGGTTTCCCAATTTGTACACCGAAATCAGTGATACTCCAACCAAATCATCATTGAGAAAGGCCAGAACAGAAAATGGTGTAGACAGTGAGTATTCGATTATTTCGCCAAGAGAAGCGTCGATCATCGTCTCGGGATCCACTCCTGGAACCAAAAAGACCATTTCAGAGCGAGTTTAAACAGTTCAGAAAATAATTTTGGGTACCACAACGAAAACCTTGGGAATCAGGGAAAGTCCCCAAAACCCCTAAATTTGAGATAAACTCACCCCAGAAGTGCATCATAGGCTCGCGACGAGCAAAATGGACTTTGGTAAAATCGACGACATCGGATTTGTGACATGGTTGAGCAACTTCGATCCGAACATTGCCAACGTTATTCTTGAGTGGGAATGAGTGGTCGAGAATAATCGGTTTATAGGAATGGGAGAGTGAACGAATAGGAGGTATAGTGTAAGATCTAGCCAAGATGGGAGACAGTTTCCTAAAATACGACAATTTATTCGACTTTTTTAGATTTTTTGGTGGAAAAATGGATAATTTTAAAGCCTTTAGGGCAAAAAGGCGGATTACAATAATCCAAAGAATGCAAAAATCGAATATATAGCAGATTACGACTCTCACAACCATAACACTTACTTTAACAACATTTCGACGCCCAATTTTGCCGTCCTCCACCACTTTTCTCTTCAAAATCGACCTTTTTTTCGGCTCACAGAACCTGGATGACTAACCGATCACAATTTTCAAAAAATAACAACGCCAATTCAGAGAATTACACTTGAAATGCCCTAAAAGTAATTCTTTTTATTATTTTTTCATTTTTTTTTGCAAAGAAAGAGAAACTTTTCGGAAGATTTTTTATATTGTTGCGGCTAAAAATCGGGTATATTGAAAAATATATATAGGTGGAATTAAGTGGCGTTTTATACGTTTTATGAGTTACTGGGGTGCTTAGTGAATATAAAGGCTATTTTATCGATATTTCAAAAAAATTTTATATTGTAGTAGGCAAGAGCTTGCAAAAAATGATGATTTCGGTAAAATCTTCGCTTATTTTCTATATGAAGCTGCTAAAACAGCCCTAATATTGTTTCTCAATAAACTTGCAAGGAAGCCAATTTCGTATTTTACCCAAACTTTTCAAAAAAGATTAAAAAGTATAACTTTTCCTCCGAAAAAATTGATTTATATAGTGATCTGATGGCACGCTCTTTGCTCCCGGAAACGTGCCGAAAACAATACAACTTCCATAATATTATAAAAACAATTGGTAGACCTTGGCGGCGGCGAAAACAAACTCGGGTTCAGAGTGTTCGGAAAGGCCGAGGGAAATGACGTCTCTCTTTGCTGTTTTCGGCGAATTTTCGAGAATTTATCGCGTATGGGCTCCGTGATAAACAGAGAAATTGCAAGCGGAGCAAATTGCGGTTTATTTGCGATGTAAATTTTGGGTTAAAATTTCTAAAAATACAGTAATCCTGTATCAAATTTGAGTTAGAAATATGACGTAAAATAAAAAATTTTTGCCGGAGGAAATTCGAGGCACAAAAAAATCACGTGAAAATCCACATAGCCATCGCCGAGATTGCTAGCTCACTCTTCCGAAAACACTGCGAAATTTCGATCAGTTGACCGAAAAATGAAATGATTGAGAATATAAGATATTACACTTATAGGTTTGAATTTGAAGGATCGAAATTTAAGATTTGTAGAGCGACTTCATTGTTTCACGCCTAGTTTTGACAGAAATTATCTGAAAATAGCCCCGAGCTCCTGAAAATAAATTAATTCTGGAATCTTCCGTATCGCATTCGAGATTTTTAGCTCGCTCTTCCGAAATTGCTAAGAAATTTCGGTCATAGTTGACAAACATTCGGATTTTTTTTTTGATTTCGACGAAGGTTTGGAAATAAAGTGGACAAAAGTTTCGCATAAAAATAACTGTTTTCTCCGCCAAATCCATAAAGATGTCACATAAAAAATATTTTTTTTTGCCTAACCGTCCTCCTCTATTTGCACAATGTCTCGTCCGAAAAAATCGTGCAATATCTCAACAGCGCCTGCAAAGTGTCAGCTAAAATTTTCAGGAATTGATATGTGCCCGGATACCCTTCAGACACACGTTAATTCCTGAAAATTTTAGCTCGCACTTGCAGGCGCTGCCGAGATATTCAACAACTTTTTCAGGCGGCACAGTGCGCAAAATGAGGAGAGACGGCCAGATAAAAAATATTTTTTAGTGACATCTTTGCTGATTTGGCGGAGAAAACAAGTATTTTTATGGGAAGTTTTGTCCACCCTCTAAAACCCACGGCGAATCAAAAAAAAATCCGAATGTTTGTCCACTGTGACCGAAATTTCGCGGCGATTTCCGAAAGAGCGAGCTAATAATCTCGAATGCGATACGGAAGATTCCAGAATCAATTTATTTTCGTAAACTCGGGGCTATTTTCAGATAATTTCTACCAAAACTAGGCGTGAATCAGTGAAACCGTTCTACAGATCATAAATTTCTATCCTTCAAATTTAAACAAACAAGTGTAATATCCTATATTTTCAATCCTAAATTCCCATCTATAATCTTCCCCATGATTTTTTTCCCATCTTCAAAAACTTCAATCAGTTTCTATTTTTTATTTTTACGGCTGATAAAGTGAAAACAGCTCCAAACAGAAAAACAAATCCCTGAAAAAACGAAAAAAAACATTAAGAAACACCGTGAACGCCTGAGGATCTCTGGCAATACAAAAAAAACCGAAAGCACATCGAAGTTTGGCCTTGAGGACACGAGGAAAGTTGGAATTTGAGTTGGAAAAGACTTGAGGACCCAAACCAGAGGTAAAGACGAACACGTGGGCCCGAAATTTGATCTTTTGCCTTCTTGAAACACCTCAAGACCCTTGAACAATATCGAGAGTAAAACTTTTTGTCCAAAAAATATCAAAACCAAATTTTCCCTTATCCTCAAGATAGACTATGGCATAAAAATGTCCTAAAATTTTTTCTAGTAGTCCTAATTTGGGTTTGTACATCACCAGACGACCGTGTCCTTGTATTCCGGAAGGACACTGATCCTTTTCACGGCTTCGTATCCAATCATAATCAGACAGGTGAAGATTCCGCGATGAACCACTCGGGGCAAAAGGCCTTTTGTAAAGACGTTGAAGCCTTCTTCTTTGACTATGCGCTTGAAAGTCTCCAAATATGTGAGTCGATGGATCTGAAGAGGGAAAAAATAAATTTTTGATATTATACTAGGCAAAATTAATGTAGAAAGAAATAAAATAACGCAAATAATGAAGATTCTTTCCTTCTCTCTCATTTACAACTCATTTCAGACCCTGAACTTAGGAAAAACCAGGAATTTTTATCAAACTCCATCAGCTACCTAGTACAATATAATTTTTGGCCTAAAGCGATATCCAACCCCTTTTTTCTTACCTGAATCCGAACTCGAAACACCTCCAGAGGGTTTGTGACTCCAGCCGAGACCACTCCAGCCACCAGTCCAGCCGCAGCTTGCAATCCCAACAACTTTTGCTCTCTCCAGGGCAACTTTTCCAAGTCCGTTTCTTCCCCATTTGTCAGCCACTTCGCCCTGGCTTTTTTCATCCTAATTAACGCCTCGTAATAGGACCACCAAAACACCATAGTTGAAGGGACGAACATAGCCAACGAGGACCAAAATCCTCGGTAAAATCCAAGGAGACCATCGGTTTTGTAGATGGCTCGGACAACCCGAAGTCCCAAGGTCATCCGTTTCTCAAGTCCATCGTTCTTCAGACAGTTTTGGATCACCGAGCCCTTCTTCGAGCCTCCGGTGAAGTCTTTTCCCTGATTGTGGATTTGCATGTACTGGGAGACGATATCTGTTGGGACGAAGACCACTTCAGTGCAAGCGTTGGCTGCGCCTCCGGCTAATGCAGAAAGAAGTTGAGGAGAATTGATAGGTGAATGTCGATTCATGACGTCTCGAAACTTCTCGTAGACTGTGTTATATAGGAAGGAAGCGCAAACTTGAGGGAAAGTTATCCAAAACCCCTAAAACATCATGTATAATATAAAAAATCCCGTAGAAACAGCTGCCAAAAGCGGCAAAGAAACTTCAAGGAGATTATAAAATCTTTCATTATTCTTCCGTAGTTTACCTAAACATCAAAAAGACCAAAAAAATTTAAGTTTCTTACTCGATAAAGGGCTCCAACTCCTTCAGTCTTGGCTATTTGTCGAAAAGCATCGAAAGTTCCTCGATAAACCGAACTCTTGTTCTGCAGCTGCAATCTCGTCTTAACAACTGTTGTCGGGTAGAGAGCACATCGAACTGTGAGCGAGGTAGTCATCGCCAAAGGGTAATACTTCCACAAATCCAAGTGAGACCATTCTATTATGTGAAGAGGCTTCTGAAAAGAATTCTTTAAGGACGAATAGTATGTTTTGAACCCAATTTCTTTTCTCGAAGAGCTACAGAACGTATTTTACCCACTATATTCACAAGTTTTCAGCTAAAACTTTCCAAAATCGAGTAAAAATGACCAAAATTATATTATACTTGAGGTCAAATTCGATCCAGCCGGAAAATAAAAAAACTGGCATAAGCTTTAAAAAAATGCATGTACTAGCAAGCTAAGGACCTAACACATCTATTAAAATAAAATTCGCTAACCTGCGGCATCAAACAGATATTAATTTAGCCAATATTACCCTACCTTCTCCAGCACAATATAATCTGTGATTCTTTCTCCAAATTCAATCTAAATACGGAAAACAAAAACAAACACTTACCCTTTCGAGCTCGGAGACGTCGTCAGTAGAGGCCATTTTGACTTTATTTGATGATTGAGGTATAATTTGACATAGTACTCGCAACAAATGAAAAGCTGATTAGAAACGCATTCCTGATGGCTGAAAAAGTTTTTTTGTTGCTTGTTGGTTCTTTGATCACGCGGGAAACATTGTACTTTACTCTGAATTCGCGAAAACCACCAAAGAACAAAAGGGGAAGCAAAAATAAATATAAAACTAGATGACTAGTCTAAATTAAATTAGGGAAATCCGCTCAAAGACCACTCGAAACGAGTTGTTGACAATAACAACCCCATGGACATGGCAAATCCTGACGAAATTCCTAAAAAAAAAGTTCGGAATTTATTTTATAGAATTTTGTTTTGGGACAAGTCTTTCTCTGTTTTTGGGTCAAGTCTCCCACTCTCCAGGGGAATACAGAATTTTGAAAGAATTTGTAGCTTTTCCGAGTGCGGGAGAGGAAAAGGATTGTTTTCTCTTCGTTCTGCCTTGTTGTTAAGAGTTTCACTTCGAATGGAAGAGATTTTCAGCTCCTATTCTTCAGATTTTCTAGTATAATATCGATATTTTGCTGTAGATGACGAGAAAACTTACTACTTGTATAAAATACGACTTGCTCATGAGCTGCTGAGTAATTTTTCATCTAAAAAGATGTGTAATATGTGTTTTCAAAGCGATCTTCCCTATGATTTTCGTCGACAAAATGGCTTTACTCTGCCTCTTCATTGGCTGCAAATATTCAGCTGGCTGATTGTGATAGTGCTTCTAATATTGACGCCATTTGTGGTTCTACCATTGCCCAAAGGCCTGCTGATAATGGCGGGGTTGGGGGTTTGTTTTGTCTGGATTATCGGCTGTTTTATTTACGCCTCTCAAGTTGATCCAAGTGGAATGACGGGAGTTGTGCCGGCTCCATTTATTCCCTCGAGAAATGAGCATGTCATTGAGAATGATTTCTGCAATGTTTGCAGAATGGATGTGTGAGTTGATTTTGATGATATTACTCCTTGATCATAGAAGAAATCGTATTTTAAAATAGTAAAAAGTGATTAAAAAACCTTTAAAATCTTCAGCGCCCCTGGTACGAGGCACTGCCGGACTTGCAATAAATGTATACCCGGGTTTGACCATCATTGCCAGTTTTTGAACAATTGTATTGGAAGACTGAATTATCGGTGAGTGAGAGAATACCGTAGCTATAGGTGTACTGGCCCGTTACTGGTTTAAAAAATCGCCGGCAGTTTTCTTTGCATATTCAATTTATCCTTTTTGCACCGTGCAATAGGCTTTTTTTTGGCTGTCGCTTGCACTGTCTTTTTTCGCACAGTGTCAAAGCCAAAAATCATGCCGGAGACTTTCTGGAAGGACTAGTAGTGTAAGGAACGGCAATTGCGACTCTCTATTTTCTTCAATTTTTCCCATTCTCTGGATAGGTCGCGCATCACTCTCTTAAAACTTCACTGACACTTTTCAAGCACGGCCAAGATGTTTAGCGGTAATTTTTTGAGAGAGTACGAAAGGCGAGGAGAGTCGGTCAGACGAAAAATTGTCTCTAATTGCATGCGTTTTTATCGGAAAAGAGTTAGGCTTTTGCAGATGGTTCGACTTTTTTATCACTGACTTTTTCAAGCCGGAAGATGCAAAAAGCAGTCATCTTTTTTGTCATCCTTTGTCGTCAGAATCTTGTTTTCATTGTGATATCAACCTGTCGGGAAAATAATGTGGATTTGACACAGTGAAAAGTCTCGCCTCGTCGCAGTCTGTCACCGAGTCTCCAGCCGCGGCTAGCCGTCGCAAAGCGATGTTTGGCGATTCCATGTCGCGACGAATCCACATAATCTTCCCGACAGACTGATAGTTTATTTCTGCCAAGTTTTCGCTAAATCAAAGGGTAGCAAATCCGTCACTTCAATTTTTTTGATGCCCTCTGGATGATACTGACACCAGATGATACTGAAATATTCTTTGTTGATGATTTCACTGTAATTCCAGTTCCTTTTTAGGATCTTTGTGCTTTTTGTGTCATCAGTTTTCATTGGTTCTTCAATTGGCCTTTCTGTTTGTTTCTACGGCCTTTGCTTGTTCTTCCACGATGAAACAAGCGATAGTAAGTACCGCTTACCTTTTTCAAAAGCCAAATTTAACTTTAGTCCCATCAAAATTTGATCCCGATTATATGGCCTTCAACAAGTTCACATGGCTTACTTTATGCCTAACTTCGGTGTTTCTATTGGCATTTACTGCGGTTTCAACAGTAACGTTGTTAGGATTCCATACAATTTTATGTTTTCAAGGGCTGTCTACGATAGATTACGTCCAGAAAATGAGGGATCGGATGAAACAAAAGAGGTAGTCAGATATTTTTAAATTTGTAAAGGGCCAATCAAATTTTAGAGCAAAACGGGTGGAAGTTCATCCGGGATACGATGCTACCGGCTCAACCGGCGGCCATGATGTTCGTCAGGTGTGATGAAGCATTCAGTAAGGGATGAGGTACAACGTTCCGCATGGAAAATTTATTTTTAGCCTTGCCAGTGTGTACGATATAAAATATCAGGTTCGCTTACAATTGCCACAAGAATAAAGTAGATCTCTATTAATAGGGGAAGCTCTTCAAGTTTTATAAACATTATAATCATCGTTAGTTCAATTACTGTCGTAATCGGTTCTTGCAAAACTAAATGTTGTCAACAAATTATTTGAACAAGTTTATTGACAAAAATTCACCGTATTTTGTGCTAAAAACTATTTTTATATATTTTACATAGAAGTCCTTGAAAATGCGATAGTCCACCACAATATGTACGTATTGAGTTCAGAATAAATTGGAGATCAATTGAGAATGATTTGTATTATTGACGATATCATATTTTGTAAGTCCGGGTCATCGTTTTCTTCTCGAGACGGGCTCTGAAAATCGGAAGATAGATTTAGCAATGATTAAGAGAAATTGGAGTTAGAGTAGTTTGAGAGGTAAAATACGCGATACAAGGAATGTGCCGAAATATGAGTCCGCCGGCAAAATAACGGTGGGTCGTCGTGCCTCGGAATCGCCCATCACCGCTTTTCTCAGGACTGCCAAATTTTCAGGGAGCTGTTTGCACCTATCCAGGGCGCGTACAAAACAGATGCTAGTGAAAACAAAAAAGCGATCGCGGTTATACTAACAGTCTGGCGGGAAAATAATGTGGATTTGTCGCGCCTTGAAATCGCCCATCATCCCTTGGCTAGTAAGATTTGGTGCGCGACAAGGCGAGATATTTTGCTGCAACAAGACCAAGTTATTTTTTCGACAGATTGAGCAGTGGCCGCTCGCTGCCTGGCCAAAACCATTTAGATTTGGCCAATCGTCATTTAGATGGGACCAGTTATCATTTAGATCTGGTTACCAGAGGAATAGATGGAAAAGCCATTAAACCGTTCGTCGCTTTTCGTTTGGGGAAACTTTATTTCTCTGACTGTATGCGGCCTCTCCAAACCTGTGATCATATATCAGTCCGTAGTGATGTTGCATCAAAAATCGCATCGCCGCCTAGAAAATGAATTGAGTCGCGTGAAATCAAATTTCTTTTCCCTTCAGCGATTGGCACGGCGAGAGTGTGTTCATTACTTTTGCAACTCTTTACAATCCTATTACAGCCAAAACAAACCTTACAACGTGCTCTTTGCATCGGTCACCGGCGACACCGTTGGGTCGCATTTGCTGGCAGGGCCTTTGGAGGTTGTTCCCATCACCGAGCTGGGCGCTTCCATTCCAATCATCCGCTTCACCGCCTGTCGATACGTGCCCACAATTAGGAGTGCACTCAGCGAATTACAAATCGGAATAAGTCCCATGACAGTGGTCAGAATCAGGCCTAATAAGGGAACACTTTGTCCGAATAACGGGGCCGATGCGCAGATTCCAATGGGAATTGTGAGTACGACGCCGGGACACATGCACTGCACAAACATGACCGTCATGATTTGGTTGTCAGTTCGTTTAGCCCCCGTGGACATTCGATTGCGTTGCTCCAGGATTGCGGAACGAATTTTCATCGCGAAGTAGGCAACAATTAGGTAAGATCCGGCGACTTGAATTGTGCTGTGCAGAAGATGATAGACGCAGCCGGGTAAAGAGGAGTCAGAGACGATATAGGCAGGAGGATCGGCATAGTATTCGACCTAAAAATGGAGGTGCTTTAGTTTGTAAAATACGGCCTTTCATTTTTGTCCTTTATTTACAAGGCAGTTTTTTCTAGCAAACTCGGCAAAAATTGGGACAAAAATTTCTTTCGTTCAAATTTCTTTCGTTGATACGTTTAGTCTCAAATTTGCCGATATTACTGCGATTTTTAGGTTAAAGATGGAAAAAAACTAAAGGTTTGCTTCTAATGCGAGGAAAAACGAACTAGGGTTTTCGAGGTGAGTACCTATGCCCAGTTTTTCAATCAAAAATATATATTTTCGTGATCCCAAAGCTTTTTTAACGCATTTTTCTGACTAATATTAAAATTTTAACACCAGCGAGCCACACGTGAACTAAAACTAACCCCTACCTCCTTGAAATCAAAAATGATGAAGACATGTTTTGGCAATTTCAATTTTTTGCGCATTCTTTGGACATACAGTGTAACCTCTATATAACAAACTCTCACCCAGCAAAAATGCTATATATCAGTATGTCGGGAAAATAATGTGGATTTCTTGCAGCAAAATGTCTCGCCTCATCAGTCGCGCACCAAATTTCCAGTCGCGGCGAGTTGTCGCAAAGCGGTTTTATGGCGCGACCAATCCACATTATTTTCCCTACAGACTGATAAGAGTAAGGTCAGAGGTTTTAGAGTCAGTACAGGAAAAATATGAATCTATGAATCTCTGAATCTGGGAAAACTTTTCTGTAATGAATAATCTGTAATGAATAATAATGAATAATTTTTTATTATTTGCAATCCTTTTGAATTTTATTCCTGAAGCTCATGTAATGGGAATTTTTATCTTGCTGCGACGTATTTTACCCCCTTCCCCCTACTCCTTACCGAAGTTATGATCTTGTCCAATTGCGCATTCTTAGGCACAGTAAACCAAAACACTGAGAAGCAATGTGCTCCAACGTAGAGTAGCGCCAGACAGTATAGGCAGACATATTGGAAGATTGTGAGCGGTCGTGTTGAAAGTTGTCGGTAGCGATAGTAATAGTTGATGGGCAAGACGGCAAATGCCATGTAGAGTGAGGTTAGCCATACGGCTGTGGCGATTGTTGTGACGGTTTGCGAAGAGTGGTAGAAGAAGGAGGTGGAGAAGAGGAAAAGGGAGTTGTCCAAGATCTCCACGCCCTGAAAAAGTGATTTTTTAGAGGGGAAAGTACTCCAAATGCGACGCTTAGATGTTGATGGAACTTGGCACAAATTTAGAAAAATGTTTTCTAAAGTATACGCGAGAATTCCAGCTCGCGCTATGCAGAAATTTTTTACGAAAATTTGGCATGCAAAATCTCATATCCGTTTCCAAAAAAAATCTGTTTTTTTCATGCGAAGCTGGCTGAAACTTGGTCTTTTTCCTGACCGCTTTCCTCGTATCGCGTACTCTCTTGGCTTGCTAACAAGGGAATGGTTTGAACTGTCCGTGAGCTTTCAACATGAGACCTCCAAATTCTGAAAGAGCGTACAAAATTTAGTAGGAATCCGCCTTCCATTTTTGCCGAATGGTCTTGGGAGACGCGAAATATCGACAGAAAGATCCGACAAAAAAATCGAGAGAGAGAAAAGACGAACCGAAAGGCCCGGAGAAGCGTCACCAAATAGTCTAGTGGAAAAAGTTCCATGCACGAAACTTTTGGCAGAGGGAGGCCTTGGAGGTTCGAGTCCACCCGAAGCGGATATCGTCGGCATGGATCTACGTGTCGTTAGTGTATTCGACCGCTATGTAAAGATTCTTTTTTCATTTGTTCGAGTGTTTTACAGATTTTTTTCGAAATTTCAAGAAGAGTTGACAACTTGGCTGCATTTTCGATGATGCCAGATGTCGACATACTGGTGTTTTCAAGACATTTATACTCGGTTCTGAAAGGCTGTATAGGTCTTGCGGAATTTTTTGAGTTTCCAGAGAAAAATCATGCCAAATTTTCACCTTTCCTTAAAGCTTTGCAAGAAAAGTTCAAAAGAAAATTTTTGAGTCCCTGCGTCAGCGTGTGGTCCAAACAAGGCATATTTATGAAAAAAATCGATTTTGAGTTTTTTAGTTTAAAATGACCGTGAACATGTGTTCAACAAACGCCCAAAATATTTTTCCCAAATTCTGCCTTGAAGGTATAAATTTTCACAAATTTGTCATTTTTGGAATTTTGTGTCTGTCGGCATCATAGAAAGGGATAATCAGCCAAAATTTTGCGTATGTACCTTTATGGCCATTGCGTACTCAATTTTTTGGAAGTTAACTTTCACAGATTACTGTAACGTAAGCATATTGTAACCCGGTCGATTAAAAAACGACCGCAACTCTTCTCCCAAGGCCATTCGGCCGATAGAAAAAGCATAATTTTGCAAACAGATCTGTGAAACACTCGAATAAATAAAAAAAAGAATCTTTACATAGCGGTCGAATACACTAACGACACGTAGATCCATGCCGACGATATCCGCTTCGGGTGGACTCGAACCTCCATGGCCTCCCTCTGCCAAAAGTTTCGTGCATGGAACTTTTTCCACTAGACTATTTGGTGACGCTTCTCCGGGCCTTTCGGTTCGTCTTTTCTCTCTCTCGATTTTTTTGTCGGATCTTTCTGTCGATATTTCGCGTCTCCCAAGACCATTCGGCAAAAATGGAAAGCGGATTCCTACTAAATTTTGTACGCTCTTTCAGAATTTGGAGGTCTCATGTTGAAAGCTCACGGACAGTTCAAACCATTCCCTTGTAAGATCTTTCAATATCTATACATGTGTACCGTGTTGTTTTTGGCACACCTCCCAACGTTCCCGTTATCTTTCTGTTTAATTTTCTCTAACATTCAATTATACCCTAAATGTCTGGTTCATTCAAAGAACCATAAGTTGCCCTCTCCCTTCTCCGTCACCACTAAAGCAGCCTGCAATTTCCGCTGAGTTTTACGTGATGTCTAATTTTCCGTTTAGGCGGTGTCTAATTGTGTGTTTGTGTAGTTTATATTCGAAATTAACTCGATTTGGAAAGTCAGTACCGATAAAAGTAAATTCCTTCTTTTTGAGGCTAATAAAGTAAATTTCTCGGCTATTTTAGGGTGGTTTTTGGTTGGAAAAAGAGGCCTGTAGGGGGAGTGAAAAGTAAATAAACAGAAACCTGTACATTTTGATGAAATTTGGGACATGTACGAGAAACAATGTTAGGACATATACGAAAATTTCAGCTTGCAGTTCTCAGAAAGTATGGAAATCTTTAGGTTGAAATTTCGTCAAAATAAAACGAGTTTTGTTATGTTAGCACCAGAATGTGGGGTTTTCTACTAGTCCGTTCGCAAAGTCGCTGTATCATTTTTTGGCGACATGCATTATGCAAAAAAAGGTCATGGTGCTTGCGACAGCCCATAAAAAGTCTACTGCATGGTGTCGAAAGCCGATAACTGCAAGTTAACTCGCCAAAATCGGCCCAGCGACTATGCAGAACAGACTCGGTGAGCGATCATTGTGGAAATTGAGAAGAAATTTTCAGTAGAGCCAAGTCGCTGTAGAACGAATGGCAAGGGACAAAAAGAACTTATTTGCTATGCAAGGGTTTCATTCTACAGAGGCTTAAAATTGCCATTTATCAGTCTGCCAGGATAATAATGAGCTCTCTGTCGCATCCAAAATCGTATCGCCGCCGAGAAAATGAATCGTGCCGCGGAAAATCAAATTGCTTTTTACTTCAGCGACGCGTTAGAAGCTGCGACATTGTGACCATTATTTTCCCGATAGACTGATAAAAAATAGGAAAACTGAACTTTGAAAAAATGGTTCGATGTTGCCAAAGGCCCTTCAAATTACTATCCTTTTTTAAAATACGGCCGCCTCAATTCTTCTTTTTAACGAAAAAATCCCAAAAAAAACCTCCGGCTCACCTCCATAAGGGTCAGATTGCAGAGCGCAAACACCAGATCCGCGACACCGTTCAAGATGAGTATCCATGAATAAACCCGTAGTCTGGGCGTCCGATTCTGCCACACCACGCGGAGAAGGACCAAAGTTAGGACGACTGATAGGATTCCGATTACAAGTTCCGCGATTATATGAATTAAAAACACTATGTGCATGACTTGGACAACTGAAAATTGGAAATTAACGATGTTTTGCAGCAGATAGGTGAGAAATACGAATATGAAGAGCGAAATTGAAAGTGTCAAGAGATAGAAATGTATTTCAAAAAAATATAAATTTCATTTTATGGGAAAATAGCAAAAGATACGCCTTTTTCACGGTAATTTACTAACGCAATAATTATAGCCGTGTATAAGGAGATTTCTACCTCAAAATAAATGTTGTGGGTGCGACTTATACGTTTTCCACGTATTGGGCCCAGATCACGCATCTTGGGTATAAGATTTAGCTCGCGCTATCTATGCAAGGGCAGCCGGGATACCCAATGACCTTTGCAAAACATAGGATGCAAAAAAGCAGAGGGCAGACAGAAATTGGCATTAGATTTCGATGCGATCCCCTTGTACAAATGTATAAAAAAATATAAAAAAAGTAGGACAAAATGTGCAATTTCGGGTTCGGACTTTTGAGGTCGACTACAGTTCGGGTCAGCACGAAATGGAGTGATATGAGGCGTAGAACAGGCGGAGACATAAATAGGTTATAGGAGGCTCATACAAGGCCTGGCAAAGCCGCTGGATTCTCGGCGGACCTAGCTGAAGGATCGGCGGAGACTTGGCGAAAGCCCAGCGGAGCCTTGGCGAAGGCTCTATAGGACTACATTTTCTAAGTTTAGCTATTGCTAAACTTTGTTTTCCAGACCCTGAGTGATTTTTTATATACAGAAAGACAAAAGAACTCCTAAAAACAAAGTTCCATAAGTTTTATCTGGATATTATTGCAGCAATACTCGTAAAGCACCTTAAAATAGGTCTTTCCTAGATCCTGTCCAATCCTAATATTTCAATAACTAAGCTTTTCCCTAGCCTCTCCCGCGCATACGAAAAAAGATCTGAGCGGTTCGAGGCAACTCAGAGAACTTGTTGACTTGAACTGTCGTTGAGCCGAAAAGTTGTAGCGCTTCGATTTTTATGGACAAGTCTGTTAATGGCCTGCAGAAAAATGCTCACATCATTGCTCATTGATGTGACGCATATGTCTCAAAACAACAACAATTCTCGGAATACTGTACAACACGGCGTAAACAGGTCAAAAGAGTTCCACCCACAACGAAGTCCATACGAACTTGTAATCACCGCTAAATAATTGCGTATTCGCAAATAAAAAATACGACCTTTTTGGACTCCGATTCCCGAAGATCAATGAATAATACTACAACGGGGAGATGAGAATATAATAACTTTTCTGTAGGCTATTGAAATTTTTATAAATCGACTATCAAAAATTCAAGAAAAGACTTTTAAAGCCATCTTCAAGCCGAGATACGACAACTTTGAAAAGATAAGATACAATGAGTGCAACACTGTCAAGCATGTGTAATCTTAGGCAACAAACCGCCTATTGTAATCAAAGGTAGGCAATGACACCCATACAGCCTCGATTACCCTAGTGATGTATGCTGATGCTCTTTGTCCTCTCGGGACTACATTTCAAGGGGCGTTCCGAAAGGAATTACAGACCACATCCGAGAATAGAAACAAAACAATGCCCGAAGTTACCCTCTCATGCGTATTCTTTCGCAAACAATGCTTGATGTGTGCAACTTTTTACACATCTGTGACTTAAAACTTGATTAGAAAGTACACATGTGATGATGTGACGGAATTTGTAATTCTTGGGTTCACGTTGCAAATATCATCACGGTTTTCCTACAAAGGCTGAAATTTTACAAAAAGGAGAGCAATTTTACGTAATTTTTTGAATTTTGAAGAAAAAAATTCAAAAAAAAGTTTCCCGCCAAAATTGGCATTCTGTTTCAAGGGTCAGAAATGGCAAAAAATTACTTGAAATAGCTAGCAGTCTCTTTGAAATTGAAAAATTCAAGGCTTGAAACCATATTTTTATCTGTTTTACGACTTCAGTTTATACGTATGGTTTTGATAAAATGATGATAAAAAATTTATGTTTTGTGCGATTCTTGAAGTAAATACTTCATGAAAGGCCATGATACGAACCCTCCGCTCTGCTATTTTTCTATACTACAATAACACGCTTTAAACACGCTGACATTTCCCGTAAAACCACTTGTTTTCCCAGGTACAAAATTATGCCCAAAACAACACTAGTTTAGCATTACAGACTGCTGGTTTAGCTACTCTTCTTCCTAGAACATCGTCAATAACAACCAATTTGCACTTCAATTTATAAAAGTTTACTATCAGAAACACGGAAATGACACGTTTTGGATTTTTCGAAAACCCCTGTGATTTCCAAAAACACCGCCAAGAAGTAAAAGAATGTAAAAAGTGCTGCCTATTTTACTCGTTTCCAATCTCTGTTTTCTCGTCAAGACAGTGACAATTAACTTAAGGCTAAATGTTATTAATCGCCGAACATGTGCATGTTGGCGGTTCGGGGAAGTGTTCGGGTGAGACGCCGAGCCAGTCCGAAGAACAGTCCTTGAGTTCCGAATGCATTAAACGTCGCATTAAAGTAATATGAATTAAGCTTATAAACAAAGAGTTTACAGTTACCTTTTGAGATTTTTGATCTCTGACGGTCTCTGAGATGTTGCGACGGAAAAAAAATTTCCATGGGAAAATACAGTAGCCTCTGGCTATAAACGATCTTCAAGAATGGACGATCTCGGAAGCCCCTTGAATTCCTGGTTAAAATCAACGCCGAGATAACAAAGGCAATTGTAAAAAAGAAAAAAATGTTTGATTTGGTTGTTGTGATGTGGGTTTACCGTACAGATAACAACGGGTGATGTCACAACACCAGCTTTGGCGGTAAGCATCAGTGTTCAAGAGGAATAATCGTAAATGCAGCGCTGATGATGAAAGTGGGCATTAATCAGGACAGACATATGCCAGATTAGATGAACATTATGTCAGATAACCAGAGCGTATTCTAAAATAATATATTCCCGGACTAATGCTACACAAGGCGTCATATATGATACTTTTGTAAATCATAGCACAATCATATCTATGTATAATTTTCATCACCTCATGTTCCCTCTCTACGTATAAACTCCGCTACAACCATGCTATGAATCTATGACTCTTATTTGTTAAGATTTTTGGCCCTTCTCCATCTGCAAATTGTTATGTCTAACGAATTTATTTACTTTATACGCCCGGTCTAGATTCTAAGGGAGTAAGATGCCCTTTTAATGCTTTCTTTGCAAAAGGCTTAAGAGTCATATGCAAAGAAATTTGACGCCTTCCGCGGTCACTAGGAAAATTTACAGATACAAATTAAAGGTCATCTGTGCTAACAAAAACGATTTTCAAAAACGGTGTGTCATTCCTCATGCAGGTCTTTTATCTACTTTAATTAATTTGCAAATTATGTGTTTTTAATGAATTTGGAATTCGAGGAAGATGCTCGAGTCTTTGTCACTTCCGGGTCACATGGCCAGTAGACGAAAAACACATGGAAAAATGAGAGAACCTCACTTTCCCTAAACAAAATGTTCTTTTGTTTGTGAAAAGTGGGGCAAGAGTAAGTTGTCAAACTCCACTGAAACTGAAGTTATAATCATATTTCAACTCGATGTGGTTTTTGAAGCCAGAGAGAGAGAGATGTCCCGGGTGTCAACTGTTTCCCCAACTATGCAAACTCGACCTTTTTCGCACGGTGTATGTCCCAAAAATCAACCGTTTTTTGAACGGTCCAGTTCAAAAAAAGTCATTCTGTCGGGAAAATAATGAGCAGTCGCGCCCAAAATCGCATCGTCGCCTGGAAAATGAATTGTGTTGCGAAGAAATCAAATTGCTTTTCCACTTTAATGACGCCTTTCGCTCAGCCATATTGGCTCATCAATTTTTCGACAGACTGATAGTGGCACTTGTCTTATCTCTGCCTCTATCTTCACGACCAAATTCTGCGGGCGCAACGTCTCCTAAGCTTTCAATAGGGCTTGAAGATGACTTGATTGCTAGCGTAGATTGCAACGTCGGTACAACAAACTCCCGCACAACAAAACCTTCTTATAATAAATAAATTTTTTGACCTGTTGCGATTCGTTGTACAGAAATTTTACTGTACTTATACACGAAAATATTGCGCGTTAATGCCTTTATTTTTCCTTCTTGAAAAGATCGGTCAAGTCAAGTTGATAAAATGGTCATGGCTTCCTTTGCAGTTTCCCAAATAACCTTTTTTTGTTCTGTAGAAATCTTTGGTTTATTTGATTACATCTTGCAAAAAGGTACGTATCTTACGCCTACATTGCCCATTTTTGAAGCAGCTGTGTAACCCTACTAATAAGCGTTGTAAATACAATTTTGAAAGTAACAGTTGTTCAGAGTTGGGGCCTATTTGGAGGCTTATAAAGTACAACCTTCAACCCAAACAATGAGAACATTGTAGTACGAGCCACGATTACTTACTAGGGTCTCAAGAATCCTTGGAGAAATGGAGTTTAGAAACGAAGTGGACACAAATAGGAGTCAAGTTCAGAGAAACAACGTATGATAAGCTGTGATAAGCTAAAACGGTTCGATGAGCGGATTGGCAATTTGCCAATAAGCGCAAAAAATCTTGTTGTAGGGTAGGAAATGTAGAATTTTTAGGGTGAGAGAGTGAGTTTTGAGGGGCAAGGAGCTTTGTGAACGAAAAGGAAAGGGAATACTACAGTGGTGGACCTGATCCGGTGGCAAAGAACGTACTATTTTGCATATGGGAAGTACCAAAAGATCTAGCAATACCTATCTCCCTATCCAAGTGAAAAAACTTCGATTTCAAAATCGCGCAAGACTACTGTCGTTTCGACAACATATAAACAATTACTCGCTCTACCGATGTATTTATATATTCCACGCGCCGTTTACTATAATTTACAAGCCAATTTGCCAAGTGGGCGGAGCCAAAACTATGTGGTTTTCCTTTTATGGAAATGACCAGATGTCTGGCCAAAAAGAGAGGAAAGAACAAGGATGAGTGCATAATTATGCATATTAGTCGGGAGAAAAAATTGTGAAATATTGCACAGTGGATTTTAGTGGAATGTTCTAACCATGTCACTTTGCTCTAAAAACACTGCAAATTTCAAGCGTCGATCTTATAGCATCCGCGCGCTACACCCGCGTAAATGTCAACCACTTAAAAAAATCGAAAAAATCGGTGTCCGATTCATTCCAAAAAAGTACAGAATGCTGTATGTCGCAATTGACGAAAAAATAAAATGATTCCTGAAAAAAATTTTCGGTCGCAAAGCCCCACGAAAAATTTATTTTAGACATTTCGTTCGACTGCAACGGATACTGGGTGGTCGAAGTCCCGAAATGGGGCGGGAGACTCCTTGGGTTGCCGTGCAACTTAACACGACTTCTTATCTGAAGTAGTACGAGTCTGTCGGGAAAATAATGAGCTCAAGGTCGCTGCGCCGGCCGCGTCTCTGAATTGAAGAGCAATTTGATTTTGCCGCGACACTATTTATTTCTTCATTGGCGATGCGATTTTCAATGCGACAGAGTGCTCGTTATTTTTCCGACATACTGATATTATTACACTATTACACTATGCCTGACATATCTATATGATAAAGAGACATTCCACTAATTAAAAAAAATTGAAAAAGAAACGAAATGTATGTAAACAAGAAGATGCTGTTGCCACAGAAAGGGTGAGTAAATAAACGCAGAACTTCCTCAAGATTCCATATTGTGAACCTTGGACTGCCATTAAAATTTGCGCACATATGTAATAGATTTATGAACCTTATATTCAAGGAAATATTATAAATTGTTTAAGTGTGAGGACACAGTATTATATTACGATGCACCCTACGTCTTACTTGACCTCAATTCCTTACCGTTTCCCCTTCCAGACGACAGAAATTAAATCTTTCCAGCCCTGTTCCTACGCACTGTGCAACTGCCCTTTCTTTATAATATTTAATTCGCCATAACCGTTTATTGGAATTAGATTCGGCCGTTGTTACTTTTCGCGAAAATAAACCCCAAACTGAATGGGCTGATCTTTGGGGACTTAGGGTTAAAATCGTTTATGGGATATTACAATACGTAGTGTCTAGGGGAAGAATTAGTCGGTTGCAAAACAAAAAGTTGAGTGACTCAAAAGAAATGGGGCAATTAGTAAGGATTTACATAGCTAATAACTTTTAGCGAAGTGTCACTTTGTCGGGAAAATAATGAGCACTCTGTCGCACTCAGAACCGCATTGCTGTCGAGGAAATGAATTGTGTCGCGGTGAAATCAAATTGCTCTTCACTTCAGCGACGCGATTGGCACAGCGACATTGTGCTCATTATTTTTCCGACAGACTGATATGCTCTAAATTGGATAGGCCTGAACTACTAAGCTTCTTGATGACGTTTTTTAAAGCGCGGGCCTGATACTCGAATTTGGTACTTACTATCAGCCTGCCGGGCAAATAACAGCGTATCGTCCCGCCTTGGAATCACTTTGCGACGTCAAGCCGCGTTGGATGATTTATTATATTTTCTGAATTCTTTTTTCGACGGGGCGGACATTTTGCTGCGACAATCCGTAATCTTTGCCTAGAACTTTGTAATTTGCAAAACAAAAAAAAAACTATTCTATACTACGCCTTCCAAAAAGTCACCGGACTAAAATCAGCGACGTGCACTGTGAGAAAACAAAAGTTAACTTTGCACGTGAAATTTATTGGTTTATGCATTGTGCATAGACTCTTTTGGGCTGTAGCTCGCCCCTTACTTTTTCGCAAGTGCAAACGCCAAAAATCACTCCAGCGACTTTCCGGAAGGACTAGTACTAGGAAAATGGGTAATCCAGGAAAAAGGCTCAAGTTACGGTCAGGTTCATATTTTGTTGGAATGTTGTACTTCATTGACAGAGAACAGTTGATTATCGGTCTTTCCGGTGTATTTAAGATGAAGTCTCAGGGCATTTCTTCAATGATCTTATTCCATATTTACACCAAGTTATGGTAAAGCACCAAAACTTGATTAATGAAGGTAGAACGCTTAGATTTAAATAGGATTATTTGTCCTAACCTCTGATTCTTCCAGGATTACTTCGAACCAACGGAAACGCATTACAGTAATTTAGCAGATCTCTCAAACACTTTACAGTAATTTAACAGGCTATTTGGAGGACAACAATTTTTGGCTCTTGACCTTTCTCGAAACGGTTATCACGGTAATTGCACGTACTTAGACATGAACTTTCTGTCGGAGTGGAAGAAAGGAGCCGCGACAGATAATTGTCTAGACTACAACACTTTGCTAAATAGATTTGCCGGAAAGAAAACTTGAACTCATAAGTAGTCTGTCCGTAAAGTCGCTGGAGTGATCTCGGCGTCATTTACTGTGAGAAAACAAAAGTGCAATTTGCACTGTGAATTTTTTCGCTTTTTGCACCGCGCAAGAGACTTTTTGGGTCGTGACTCGCACCCAAGCTTTTTCTGAGCAATGAAAGCGCCAAAAATTGCTCCAGCGTATCAATGTTGCGCGAGCGGACGA